GTATAGTTTGGAAAAAATTATAGTATAGTAAGGCATAAAAATGGCAAAAAACATGATATTATAGTATGGCATAAAAATTGCCAAATAATGTCATAGTATAGTAAGGCATAAATTTGTCAAAAAACATCATAGTATAGTTTGGAAAAAATTATAGTATAGTAAGGCATAAAAATGGCAAAAAACATGATATTATAGTATGGCATAAAAATTGCCAAATAATGTCATAGTATAGTAAGGCATAAATTTGTCAAAAAACATCATAGTATAGTTTGGAAAAAATTATAGTATAGTAAGGCATAAAAATGGCAAAAAACATGATATTATAGTATGGCATAAAAATTGCCAAATAATGTCATAGTATAGTAAGGCATAAATTTGTCAAAAAACATCATAGTATAGTTTGGAAAAAATTATAGTATAGTAAGGCATAAAAATGGCAAAAAACATGATATTATAGTATGGCATAAAAATTGCCAAATAATGTCATAGTATAGTAAGGCATAAATTTGTCAAAAAACATCATAGTATAGTTTGGAAAAAATTATAGTATAGTAAGGCATAAAAATGGCAAAAAACATGATATTATAGTATGGCATAAAAATTGCCAAATAATGTCATAGTATAGTAAGGCATAAATTTGTCAAAAAACATCATAGTATAGTTTGGAAAAAATTATAGTATAGTAAGGCATAAAAATGGCAAAAAACATGATATTATAGTATGGCATAAAAATTGCCAAATAATGTCATAGTATAGTAAGGCATAAATTTGTCAAAAAACATCATAGTATAGTTTGGAAAAAATTATAGTATAGTAAGGCATAAAAATGGCAAAAAACATGATATTATAGTATGGCATAAAAATTGCCAAATAATGTCATAGTATAGTAAGGCATAAATTTGTCAAAAAACATCATAGTATAGTTTGGAAAAAATTATAGTATAGTAAGGCATAAAAATGGCAAAAAACATGATATTATAGTATGGCATAAAAATTGCCAAATAATGTCATAGTATAGTAAGGCATAAATTTGTCAAAAAACATCATAGTATAGTTTGGAAAAAATTATAGTATAGTAAGGCATAAAAATGGCAAAAAACATGATATTATAGTATGGCATAAAAATTGCCAAATAATGTCATAGTATAGTAAGGCATAAATTTGTCAAAAAACATCATAGTATAGTTTGGAAAAAATTATAGTATAGTAAGGCATAAAAATGGCAAAAAACATCATATTATAGTATGGCATAAAAATTGCCAAATAATGTCATAGTATAGTAAGGCATAAATTTGTCAAAAAACATCATAGTATAGTGTGTCATAAAAATGGCAAAAAACGTCATAGTACAGTATGGCAAAAAATTGTCACAAAACGTCACAGTATAGTATGGATTAAAACGTCATAGTATAGGAAGGCATGAAAATGGCAAAAAACGTCATAGTATAGTAAGGCATAAATTTGTCAAAAAACATCATAGTATAGTTTGGAAAAAATTATAGTATAGTAAGGCATAAATTTGTCAAAAAACATCATAGTATAGTTTGGAAAAAATTATAGTATAGTAAGGCATAAATTTGTCAAAAAACATCATAGTATAGTTTGGAAAAAATTATAGTATAGTAAGGCATAAATTTGTCAAAAAACATCATAGTATAGTTTGGAAAAAATTATAGTATAGTAAGGCATAAATTTGTCAAAAAACATCATAGTATAGTTTGGAAAAAATTATAGTATAGTAAGGCATAAATTTGTCAAAAAACATCATAGTATAGTTTGGAAAAAATTATAGTATAGTAAGGCATAAATTTGTCAAAAAACATCATAGTATAGTTTGGAAAAAATTATAGTATAGTAAGGCATAAATTTGTCAAAAAACATCATAGTATAGTTTGGAAAAAATTATAGTATAGTAAGGCATAAATTTGTCAAAAAACATCATAGTATAGTTTGGAAAAAATTATAGTATAGTAAGGCATAAAAATGGCAAAAAACATCATATTATAGTTTGTCATAAAAATGGCCTAAAACGTCATAGTACAGTATGGCAAAAAACTGTCACAAAACGTCACAGTATAGTATGGATTAAAACGTCATAGTATAGTAAGGCATTAAACGTACGTCATAGTATAGTATGGCATAAAAATTGCCAAATAATGTCATAGTATAGTAAGGCCTAAAACGTCAAAAAACGTCATAGTATAGTAAGGCATAAAATTGTTGAAAATCGTCATAGTATAGAATGGCAAAAAATGTCATAGTATAGTAAGGCACAAAACCTCAAAAAATGTCATAGTATAGTGTGGCATAAAATTGTGAAAAAAGTCATAGTATAGTGAGCCATAAAAATGTGATAAAACATCATAGTATAGTAAGGCATAAAAGAGTCAAGAACGTCATAGTGTAACATGGCATAAAAAGTCCTATAAACCACATAGGATATTACGGCATAAGAACGTCATGGTATAGCATGTCATCAAAATTTGAAAAAAGTCACAGTACAGTATGGCATAAAAATATCCAAAAAGTCATGGTATAGTATCGCACAAAAATGTGAAAAAGAAGTCATAGTAAAGCATTGCATAAAAAAGTAGAATAACATTCTAGTATGTTAAGGCATAAAACATCATAGTATAGCATAAAAATTAAGCTTAGTGAAAGTTAAGTCAGAAAGACTATCTCCTTGCGAATGCCTTCCAAGTGAGTAGCACAATTCCCGCTATATAAAATCTCCACCCACTAATTCACATCTTCACCCAATCACAACCTTACATGTCGGCCTTCAGCCAATCACCTGTAAGCTTACAAACTCTAAAATTGTCTCTCTCTCTGCTGTCATTCAACTGTCATTTCAGCACAGCGAATAATCTGCAACCCACCTCCACCCCTTCTCCACTTCAACCATGGACACCACACCATCTCCAATCAAACCATCCAATCAGAAGTTCCCACATCAAGACATTCCCATTCCCAAGCTCCATTCCTCATCACCAGCACCAGTGTCTAGACTCCAGGGGAAGATTCCTCTTATTGGAAGGACCTTAAACCTATAGATCTTGTTCATAGTGATCCACTTCCTGCCGGGGTTTAAGCGCCAAACTCTGTTCCTTCTGTTCACAATAAATTTCATTTTACTTTAATTCTCATACTCTCTTGTTCTTCTTATTAGTCTTTCCTGAAATGTGAAAAAACATAGTATAGTATGTCAAAGAAAACTCATTGTATAGTAAGGCATAAATATGTCAAAAAACATCATAGTATAATAAGCCATAAAATTTCAAAAAACGTCGTAGTATACTATGGCATAAAAATGTGAAAAAAAAGTCATAGGATAGTATGGTATATAAACGTCATAGTATAGTAAGGCATAAAATGTAATGAAAATATCATAGTATCTTAAGGCATAAAAACATCATAAAAATGCCATAGTATAGTAAGGCATAAAAATGTCAGAGTATAGTAAGGCATTAGAGTCACCAATAAACCTAATGTGCATGTCTTTGGACTGCCATTAGAAGCCAGAGTACCTAGAGGGAACCCACACAGACACAGGGAGAACATGGAAACTCAACACAGAAAGGCCACAGCCTGGGGTTTGAACCCAGAACCTTTTCACTGTGAGGCAACAGTTCTTAACACTGTATCACCAAGCCATCCCATGAATAAATCATCGTATAGTAAGGCATAAAAACGTCATAGTATAGTAAGGCATTAAACGTCATAGTAAGTCATAAAAAAGTCATTAAGGCATTAAAATGACAATATTAAAATTAATTAAAATGAGGCATAAAAACATATTTGTCATCTTTTTTCAACATTAGCCAGGGTTTGGTGTGCTTCTGAATTCCTCTGCTGGTAACAGAAATGTTTGGGGTGAAATATTTGAAAAGAAAAAGTCAACAAAAATTCAAAATGTTAAGTTTAGATTGTCAGAGCATTTACCATGAAAAAGTATCTGTTTCAGTATGGATTGTCCAATTAAAATCTACCTCTGAGATGTATGATAATGTCAATGTCAAATGAAATAGCTTAAAAATAACCATAAGGTGTAAACCTGAAAATAGGAATACTTTCAAATCTGCAAACATAACAAGGTATGAATTACTGGCTGGTAGTGAGACACAGCCCAAAACACAGCCCTCAAAGTGTTAACAAACCATAAGAGATACATAACCTTTAGCATATTTCTGCTGCTTGTTTCTACTCAGACATCTTTGTATATCATGAAGGTGTTTTACTGTTCACTTCACTTTCATGAGATGATCATCATCGCTACCAGTGAGCAACCCATACCACCTCCTGAATGTTTCCTTTTAATCGACAAGAAGCTACAGTAATGTCTGCATTCTAACCTTTAAGGACAAATCTTAAAAAGAAATACCACTGAAGTCTAAAAGTTAAGAAAGAAAAAAGAAAGATCAAAGCATTGCCCAGTTTTAATGTGCTTCAAGACTAGAGTTGTTTGAACTACTTTAGCCCATTTCCCATTACAATGGATTCATTGTAAACAGTAGAAAAAATTATTTAATCAATTATGTCTTCGTCTCTCTCTATTTGGGCCATCTGATACAGTCCTCTTTCTAACTCAATTTGACTATGTCAGTTTGTTCACAAACGCTGCTGAAAGGTGGCAGAAAATACAGGACAAAGCCTCAGTGAAGATAGTGCTGACATCACTTGCTTGACTTCTTAGTATTTTAGGCTGAACTTGGAAGACCTGCAAGACCAGATCTGCCACAATAATTAAGACAATCAAAATAGAGATATTTGTTTTAATAGAGATCATTCTCTGTCAATCCATTATAAAATAGCAATTAAAAACTTTTAAATTCAGATATTTACATATAAACAAGTGGCTGTGCAAAATTTACAAGATATTGGCAAAAAGCATCATATTTTGACATATTTATATACATGAAAAATAAGACAAATTTTCTCAATTTGAACTTGTCAATTGATAAATCTACAAATAGCAAACTTAAGTATATACAGTAATAAAATTTGTCCATAAACATTCTTTCATAAAATGACAAAAGGTATAAAGACCAAATTAGTATGTGCACTAAAAATACAAAAAGTTATAAAGTGGGTATGTTCATATGATCGACTAGTTTTAGAAAACTGATCTGTCAAAGTGCAATCCTTGTTCTGCATTTCATGCCCATGTTTTCCAAACATGACCAACATCATTTATTAAAATGTAAAAATGTGGATGCACAACTTAAAAATGCGTGATTCACTTAAAGGACTGGGTTTCATTTCTCCATATTCCCATTTCTTAAAATTCACATTATAGCACATATGTGACACAGCATGAAGACTTTACATCACTAAGAGCAACTTCAGTTCCAATTTAGACCATATTGATATATTTTTATTTGTTGAAGTAACATTAGGCAGCCACCTATGTCCATTCTTCTTTTTTTTTTCTTTTTAAAATGGTACAAAAAGCAAAGAACAAATGTGTTTGAGATGGACGATCCATCACAGAAAATGTCCTGCCCAAATACATTTTAACCAGAAGTTACTTCAACATCTTAATTGAAACAAGTCTTTGTCTGACATTTGTAAAAGGCAGGAAAATGACTTGATAGCGTGGCTTCTTGGTAACATTATGCAAGAAGCACAGAGCCAAATCCAGATAATTATTTTCATAATGTGAATGTTTCATTATTCTTGGATTTTCTAAATAACAATATCAGATAGCTTGCCACCAGGATATTGACAGAAAGCCAGTTGAATTTTTTACCATTGCTGAAGAAATTACTGGAAACAGAACAAAATGATTTAAAAATGTTTGATAGGGATGTAAAGTATACTAAGTCTGTGTAGCAAATGTGCTAGAACCTGAATAACAGCCTGTGTCAGGAGCTCTCACTGTTCAAATACCAACACCTGCTATAACACCATGCACAACACATATAAATAATAATTTTTGTTTCCAATCAAGCAAAGACAAAAAAAAAAGAAAAAAAAAACACACATCCTACAAATCTGGAGAGAACTGTTGGATAGATGAAGTTACTTAAAATGAACAACACATTCTAATCCATATGGCTTAATCTGAAGAAGGCAACTGATCAGAAGACAAGACTTGTCAAGATTAATCTCTGTAAAACAATCCACAGGCATTGAAACGGTGCTCTAATATAGTAGAAATGTGTGATAAATTAAAATCTCTGTTAAAAACTTAAATAAACAGAGTGTTTACGTTAACATGGTCAAGAAAATTAGCATTACTGCAGTTTTGTAAAATCAGGCTGCACCTGAATGTTGCACATTAATCTAACATGGAACCAATTCGCAGAGATTTGCTGCTACAACCCAGATATCAGTGCAAGGACACTGACAAGGTTTTCAAATCTGAAGTGCCCAGTTCAGTTAGAGATTTTTCTTCTGTGCAGCATGAGGCAGTGCATGAGGGAAGTGTGGTTGAGTGCAACTGGTCTCTGAAGAGCAAACTGAGCTGAGAGGCACACTGAAATCAGGGCCAAGTTCCAATATTTGCTCCATTTCTGCGCTGAAAATACAAAAGGCTTGTGCTCGAAGAGGCTTTTAGAAGCTGACGTCCCTTCAGTGTTCCACATAATTCTCTTCCCATAGACAAACGTCTCTTCATTCAGCAGTGGGCAATCAAAGAATGTACCGGTAGAGAGGATCTGAGCTGACAGTCAACTCTGCTTCCTTAATGCCACTGAGTGAGGTTAGTCATTTTAATGTGGATGTTATTTCAGGAAGCCTTTATAGAGCAGGTGTGAGTGACTGGTCCCTCTTTCATTCTCCAGGCAGAAGAGCAGGTCCCTGAGGTTGACTCTGGTGATACGCTGTCGCATAAACTGTCTGGACCCTGCTCCACCAGAGACTCCAGGCTGGGAGGGCCCTGACCCTGAGCCCTGGACGGTGAATTGAAGCAAACACAAGATAGATATTTAGTCTTTTATTGAGCTTTGAGAATTTGAAAAAAAAAAAAAAAGCACAACTTGTCTGTGTCCAAAGGTTCCATATTCCTCACCTCTGCACTGTCACCTCTAACAGGAGAGTACATTTTCCGTTTTTTCCTGGGGCCAATTGCTGCCAATGCCGTTAGGTTGGCTTCTCTCTGCCTGATCTGAGCCAGCTCCTGCTGCTGCATCTGGAGCACAGGTAATAACATAGATGAGTCTCACAGTCCACCTCATCATAATACTTCACAACGAAAGCAATCACACAGTGACTCATGGCAGCATATGTTTACCTCTTTGGCCTTCTGTTTAAGTCGGAGCTGCTCGGGGTCCTCTTGCCGAGACCGAGACTGCAATAATGTAGAGGACATTTTAATATTTCAAGACGGATATGTTCAATTCATTCAATCAATTGTTTTATTTATTCACTCACTCAAAGTTAGCATACCTGCTCTCTAGCAGGTGAGGAAATGTATACTAATGACACTGTCCTGAGATCACTCGCCCACCTTCTCTATGCAGTTATGATAGTACGTCAGTGATATTGCATGTCCTTGCCTATAGACAGTGGGGACTTTACGCAACACTACTTAAAGTCTAGGCTAGCCTAGGATTGTTACCTTGGCAGCCTTCAACAGGATCTCTCTCTCCTGCTCTTCCTTCCTTTGCTTCTCCATCTGATCCAGCTGCTCGAAGAATTTGAGCTGGGCTCGCACATCGCTCACCTGCTCACACCGCTCATCCTCCTGAATGTTGAATGAAGTTAAGGACAGAAAGATACAATAAGAGACGCTGGAACAGAGTAAATTTCAATGGGTCTTGCCAACTCTAAAATTACAGTGATTAATTATCACCTTGAAGGTTAAGTTCTTCTGCTGTGCCACTTGTGACACCTTTTCTAGCAGGTTTTGTAGTCGATGCTGTGTAGCATGGGAAATGAAGTTGATCACATCTGTTCCCAATTCGCTGACACCAAACTTCTTTCCTGTAACAACAGGAGTGTGGGTAAAGATTTAGTGAGTGAGACAGTGTCAACCTTTAAAACCAAGAACATGCTGTACGTGTTCACGTGTCTCACCAATCTCAAGAGCTCTCCGAGTGAGTGAAGAGGTGGACAGGAAGGCCTCATCCTTACAGGAACGAGTCATTGTGCCAACAAGCTCAGAGTTGGTTGCTAAGATACGGGCACTCTCCTCTGACAAGTTGACTCCTGCCATGGAGGCCACATCATTGATATCATCATCATCCCTGGATGAAATGGAAAGTGATGAGAGACATAGTAACATGAACACAATTTGCACCTTTTTTTTGTCTGACATTTCTGAGATACTGAGATCTCTTTTTTGTTTCTGTACATTTATACAAAATGATCTCAACAGGTTTGTTCAGTTGCAGCTGTGTCCTATAACTACAAAAATTCCAAAACAGCTAGAAAAATGTAAATACTGAGATAATTCATCACGCACCCTAAAAACTGTCTGACCAAAAAACTGCACTTATAAAAACATCAGTGCAGTTCATATATCAAAGCAAGACACACAAATGCTAAGTGCCCTCTAGTCATAACATAAAAAATATATTGGACAAAAGGATTGTACCATGGGACATGAATGTAATGAAAGCAACAAGGACTGCACCAATTTAAGACCATCTACTTTTTCTGAAGATCCTAGAATCAAGTATGTGCACACAGTGGTTTTAAAGTGGAACAAAACGTCCATATCAACAGTCATCTGGTGAGACGAAGAATTGAAAGAAAACATCTTTCAGAGAGACGCTGTGGTCACTCTGATTTGTCTCAGCAGTTTAAAAGTCTGTGCCGTGACACTTCCTGTTTTTTTTCAGTATATCCAAACACACAATAAAATTGTTCTCATATATATTTACATGCTACCATCCTGGGCACCTCGATCACATCATAATGTTATGCTCACATTTTTGTCTGACTGTATAAACTAGTTTTTTAGTTACACCTGTACAATCTAGTGCAATCCACAAAACTGCCCTATAATAAATCCAATCTGTGTCTGTATTTATTATTAGTGATTTCTCTCTGGGACATTAATGCTTTACTCTGTCTTTGTAAATGCAGAAATATGTTCAGTTTTTCTTGACAGAGAGGAGTAACTACCACAATATATTACGCATAACCGCTTATGTTTAAGAAGTCATTATTTAAGAGAATTGCTGCATTAATTAGCAAATGTGACTACAAACACAAGGGTGGCAAAATAGGAACAAAAACCACGACAATAAACTGACATACTGAAATTGACCAAAGACAGTTTTCAAGTACAGTTTTTAAACTGACTGATTTACATTACAGCCTACATCAGTAGTTAAAGCTGTACTGCTGAATGAATTCAGGACACAAATGTACAAATGTTTGGCTCAACACTCAAGAAAATCACAAGGACTTCTGGTTTTCAGTGAACAGGTTGTAGAATATTCAGATTATATTACAATGTTTGATTGAGAAAACCTTGAACCTGGTTAGATCATGTTACACAGCTCCTGAAAATGCAACACTTCATGTTGGTTTTCCATTTCTTTTAGCACTATATGGCTGAGGCTGGATGCTTTCTTCTAATTTCCAATTTTACTGTCTCAGTTTTACATTGTGCACAGTGAATCTGTTTGTGCAGTTGCTTGAACAGCTTTCTGCTGCGTTTTTGTTATCTTTTCTCCCCATGCCAATGCACAAGGCCCTACCAGGGTGACTTTATCATATCACTGTGTAATTTTTATTGCAAGAAAATGGGTTTTGCCTCAACATGAAAATTTATGCAGCAAGGTTAACCAAAATCGAATGTCATCTTCCGCTGTGTGGAGGTGTCTGTGGTATGTTTGTAGTACATGTGTTTCTGCTGTTCAGATGTTATGTTAAAAAAAAATGAATCCAGACACACAAAACAGATGAGAGTAGGATGACATGTTGATTGTATAAAGTGTACCATGATGGTGAGAGTGATATGACTGTAAATGTAAATCTGACTCTTGCTCTGGTATTGATAAATAAAGCATGACTACCTATGCTTTATAAGAAAAACAACTTCTTTTGATATCCCTGAAAATACAAGGGATACAACTCATAATTACTTCAGTTCTTTATTAATCTGATTAAACAATTTATAGTTTGGGCTATAAAATGTCAGAAATTACTGGAAAAAAATCTGATATTTTATAATGTTCACAATCATATAAGATAAATACATGCTGCAAATCTTCACAATTTCTAACTGTGAAGTAGTGAATGTTGAAAAATGACTCAATGACTTAATTATCAAAATGCTTGTCGATTAATTTTCTGTTCTGTTTGAAAAACCAATAACACTAATCATTCCAGTTCTAAAACACGTGCCAAATTTATGTTGTACAATGTAGAAAAGTGTAGGTTTGCAATTGCTAACCACTGGATGATAGTTCCAACGTCAAATATAATAATAAGATAATTATGTAAATTCTCAGTTGGTTTTGAAAATGTAAAGTACTGAAAATATGTTACTAAACCTCTAAAACTCCTTCAATACAGACTATCTGGACACTGATATTTACGCAACATTTATCTGAATGTGTCACAGACCTGAAGGTTCCCCCTCCTGCTTCCTTCAGCTTGTTCTTCTGAGCAGCAGTGAGAGGGGCCTGACTGACTACTTGTACTCCTTTGGCCCCTGGAGCCAACGTCTGCTTCACTGCTGAAACTAACAGTGACAGAAGCAAGTTCAGATTTTTGCAGCTATCTGAGCAGAACACAATGTAATTGCAGTTAAAATTGTAAGTATGCAGTTTAAAACATGCACTGTAGCATTAATGAAATTTGTCTTGTTTTCAGAATCAATTTTGGCATCTTTGTACAAGTGTAGAGTCCTGCAATTACATACAGTATCCAGAAGGTGGCAGCACTTCCATACTGTATATAGTGAATGTGTGAAAGACCAAATACAGACATGCTGAGGTGGAACCATTGTATTTTTGTGTTGTTCAGTGACTTTCTTCAATGGATTTGTTTAGCATCTAGGTCTGTCCACCAATTCTCACTGGACACTGTATGATGCACCAAATAAAGAAAATAACAATATACAACATTAAGAGCATTAGTATTGATTTTCCAAGCCCACTGAGATACAATGGAAGCTGGAAACTGTTGAACACACACCTGTCTGCAGCTGTTTGACCACCTGTGGCTGGCCCACAATGATGCGGCTGTGCGGTTGTCCTCTGAGTGTTACCATTGGAGACTGAGCCAGCGTCACCTGTGGCCTCACCATCGCCCCCTGTTGTTGTGGCACAATCTGTGCACATTCAGTGACAAAGAATGAGAAACAAAATCATAGCACAAACAAAAATAAGAGATTAAACTCATGCCAATTGCTGAAGTCAGACACAGGTAAAAAAAAAAAAAAAAAAACACATATTACCAGTCCTGGTTTACTGTGAGGTGCCTGAGTGAGGCTGATGACTGTGGTTTTGGTCACGGCAGTGCTGGTGGCTGTGGTGGTGGCAGTGGAGAGAGGAGGTCGCAGTACCACAGCGGTGAGGGCCGTGGAAGCTGCTGCAGCTGCTGCAGCAGGCTGAGTGCTGGGCTGAGGCAGCAGGCTCTGCTGAATGAAGGCCTCGGAGTCTGGGGTCATCTGACGCAGCGCTGGGAGACTTCTCTGAGGACAGAAAGAAAAAACATACAATACTTGGATTAAGTCATTGACTCATTTCCACACATAATAGATTTGGTTATTATAAAACAAAAGTAGCAGCATTTCATGACATGTGGTGCAGTCTCTATGATATACTGTACTCTGAAAAAACACACAATGTACTGGTTGAACTCCCTGTGTGTTTGGATGAGGCCATGCAGAGCGGATTGTTGGACCAGGAGGTCCTAAGAACTTTGGGTGATGGAGAGAAAAAATTCCTGAGGATATCACCATATGTGCACATATGCTCAGTTTAGTGTGAACAATAGCATTGATGTGTGTTCACATATTTTTCAAAAGCAGACACAAAATACCTCTTTTTATAAAGAGGAGTTTCAGGAAGCAATAGCATTAGTTTGTAGACAACATGCAGACTTCTGTGTGGATAAAGAGAAAAAGCTCCTTTTCTCCCTCTTTGAAACCTTTGGGTGCCTACTAGCTCTTCACAATAGCTTCCAAAACAGTTTCAGCATGTTGGTGTTATACCACCTTAACACATAAACCTCGTATTTGATGTAGGATAATAAACCCATTGTTGAACCCATTCATAACACACTGCTGTCACAGTTTAATTCCCTGGTTATAACCGTTTAAAAGAGACCTGGTCGGCAACTTCAGTTCCACGCACAGCTATTAAAACCACACGATTATATTAGTCCGTGTTTGCTAGATGGAGTCGTTGACTTTCAGTTACTGCCCCAGTGTTTACACTGAAGGAGAAACAGTGTCATTTTACAGGATTTTATCATCTTATGGAAAGTAAATGCAACAACCTACACTCTTTAACAATGATGATGTTCATGTGCTGAATCTCTGACATTAAAGAGGGTAGATTATGTGGTTTAGATGACAAGAGGTGTGCAAACCTATATTCATTTAATAGTATCGCTATAGAAACCAACACTTTTTATAAAAATGTATTGATTTGAGCAGTCTTTGTGAGCACTGGTTAGAAGCAGAGTTGTGAAGCCATGTCATCATGTCAGTCTAAACGAGGTACAAGTTGCCTTCAGTTTGCATGTAGCAAAAGTGCAAAATATCACTAGAGCTTGTGCCTTGTCCTAACACAAGCTGTGAGTCCTGCACTCACCTGCATATCTACAATGTGGACCATGCTGCATCAGCCATTATATTTGGATATAAACTGGTTTATTGCTGATCTCACCTTCAGGAAAGGCACAAGGTACGGCTGTGGTGAGGAGTTGAGCTCCCGGTATAACCTGCTGGTGAAATCTTCAGGCTCTATCTTTGCTTCCTGTTGTACAATAGACACAGAGGATGAATCAGAACAGAAAAAATGTAAGTTAATAAAACAGACTGAATGAATGGAAAGAGAGGTATGAAAATGAAGACAGACAGATTTTTAACAGAGATGGTGAGAGAGAGAGAGATGAAGGATAAGATGGAAAAGCAAGAAAAAGAAGACACGAAGGAGAGAAATGTACCAGCAAGTTCTTGACCAGTTCCTTAACGCTGGCTGTAGTCTCAGAGGACTGTTTCCCGCTGGATGCCAGCTTGATCAGCGTGGACAGAAAGTTTCTACACTTTTTTACATTCTCCAGTGTCTCCTGCGAGCACAGACAAACAACACTTTTCTTAAATATACACATTGGATTTACAGTAGAAATGTAGAGCAGAACACAAAATACCCTAAAATCAAATGTCTGTGTAGTTCATTATTTTATTTGAGACAGATTACTCAGACAAAAGCATTCGAGGTTAGTACTTCTCTCTTACAGCTGTGACAGCTGTCGGAGTGACAGGGGTCCCAGTGGCTCCAAGGGGCCCTACCCTCTGTGTTACTGCTGTGGCTGCAGATCCAGGCTGTACTGTGGTGGGCGTTCCTAGTGGCTGACCCGGGGTGGTGGCAGTTCCCCCCAGCATGATGGTGTTCTATATGAGTCAGTGAATTTGCAGTCATGAGATGAGACGTAGGAAAATGACAAGGTCAGATTAACAGTTTTGACAAGTCTGTTTCCAGGGCACAGTACATTCAATTTTACTAGGACATAATTAATTGTTATTCTGCCAAGAAAGAGCAAGACATTGTGTTTGCTGTCACAGATATCTGTATACTTTGTAAACAACATTCACTTTTCAGAGCTTCACAATTCTCTTCTTCCACCCCTAAATTAGAGCATGTTATAAAAATGTGATGTACAAATCAGACAATGAAAACGAATGATGTTTAGTAAAAATGTATTAACCTTTAAGGGGACTTCCATGGCAACCAGAACAATCATAATTCACAAGAAAGAGTAATACAACCAGCAGTGTTCTCGAAGTGAGCAAACAAAAGGCCAAGCAGAGAAGACAGAGAAATTAAAACGAATGTGCCTGCCTTGACGCAAAAACCTAGCCCTTCATAGCAGTTATTTAGCAGAACAAGATGACCGTACAATCTATGAAACAGGTCGGAGCCTGTTTTTTTAACAAGCATTCAGATTAGGAAATCCATCCTATCTGTTCAAAGAGGCATGGATTTAACCCTATTTTAGGCATGGGAGTAAAAGCATTATATTAACTTTCCCATTCAAGGAAACTTCTCCTATCTTCTCCAAGATTTATGAGAGCTAGAGAGCTGTTCCCAGGAGGTGGACAGTTACGGACAAACGTGCATGTTAAATGAGAAATGCAAACGTGAAGAACAATTTATCTAAAACAAGAAGCTTCCCCAAACACACAGACTGCATTCAATCCTCCTCCTGATTTTGTTCATGGAATAATCTTTTTTTTTTTTTTATACTGTTGGCAGTCCTAACCCAAGCAACACCAAACCACGATGAGGGAAGCAACATTGGTGGGCTATCTGTGGGAGTTTAGTGGACACAGGGCAAATAGAGCAAATGGTTTGCTTTAACTCAATCATCCAATAGTTACAGAGTGTTCAGTGTCGGCAGAAACAAGGTTTGGTGTAACAGAACTGAGTCGTTATTAGTTAACATTCTTTGTGGTGAATGAGCCTGACAGATGGATTTTTAATGACATTTGGTGTTTCATAACTTTATACCCTACGCTGGGAAATAAATACCTAAAGGGATGTGTGGTGGAGTTACCTGCAGCACAGGAGGCCTCTGCAGTTTGGTGGCGGCCGTCACAGTAGTCTGGACTGTGGGACCTTGTTTAATAATAGTGGTGGGGGTAACCGAACGAGCCAGCAGTGACGCACCTGGAGCCTGCAGAGCAGCAGGGGATTTGAAAGGAGGTGTCACACATGACACTTTATGTAAAAGTTAAGCAATCCTGAGAAAAATAACATTGCGCTAGTGTCTCGAATAAACAGTGCAAAAACATTTTTTTCAGTTACATAATTTCACTGTGCATATGCTACTTTAAACTTCCACAGCTCCCTCAAGAAAGATTCTTGCTTTGCTCCATGTCATCTTTTTTAAAGCAAAATATTTTCAAACAGCAGCTGCAGCATTTTTTCCACTCACAATTCTCTTTTTTGAGCATCCTTTCTGTTTCTTTACTTATTTTGAAGTTGGATGCAAAACTCGTCACACACTAAATAAAAGCAGTCCATTTTGACTGGTCATTTACCATTCAGCCACAGCGTGCATATGAAAGCAGCACCCAAAACGTAATTAAATAAGACTGCAATACAAAATACATAAAATCGCCTTTAGGTTTTGCTGTTTACAATATGTAACAAAAAAGACAAAGTTGGTTAGCTTTTTCTATCAAACAGTGAAATTGTATGTACTGTATAACACAATGTGCCTAACTTTACCTATGACACTGAAATATTTGCAGGATGACTATTGAAAATGTGTTCATTATTGTGATTGCATACACTGTTGTTGTGACGGGATGCAAATGACATATTGTTCAGGCCTGGTATTATGGATGCAGAGATCCCACCTTTTCTTTCTTGACACCTAAACTCAGGGTATCAGCCAATGTTGACAACACATCTAATATGCCTGCTCTTTTTTACTGTTTCAGTTTAAAATCTGCATACTTCACAGTGTGGAACTGATTGGTTATCATCCCTCTGTAGCTACACATCATTTCCTAACTGATACTAAGTTCATTTTAACTTTAATTATATTGTTCTTGAAGGTTTACAGAATTGTGCCATTACAGTTATATAATAACAGTGACAAAGAAAGTATTTAAATTGAATCAGTCACATCTGGCTGATACTCAGCCTACTCAATAAGGTCAGTATCTGCGGTATCTGCGTAAAGATCATGTATGAGTCACATTTTCTGTTTGTGAGTGTGGCCTTGTGTCCAGCAGTCCCGGTACCTGTAGAGATGTGATCTGGACAGGTGGAGTGCTTGTGGGGGCTGCAGGTCGCGGAGTCATGGCGCTTTGGGACTGCGACTGAGCCTGCATCTGAGCCAAGGTCTGCTGGTGAATCACCAGCAGCTGCCCACTCTCACTGCGAACCAAGACCATGCCTGCAAGAGGCAAATGTCAAGGTGGTTAAGATGTCAAATGTCAGGGCTTTTCTATCCTGATAAACCTCATCAATATACTGTATATATGTATGTATACACTTTCTGACATGAGGGTGTATGAATTACTCATCTGTAGGTCTATTAATGCACAGATATTACCTTGGCTGGGAGGTTTATGTAGAGAGATTTCCAGCCATTCACAATCAGAACAAAATGAGCCATAAACATGATATTAATCAAGAGCATCTCAAGCCACAACACAATGTGTAATTATAGGTTGTTCAGCATCCTCAACACAGCACAACTCAAAGTAAAATTTTTTTACTTGCTTTCCAGACTTTATTGGAGGCCACTGCATTACAGTGCACTGGTGTTTTGCCTGCCCATTCAGTGAAAAAGCTTGGCTCCAGTGCACAGTAATACACTGATCTACAAGTTGCAGCGAGGACATTCAGGAGAATTAAGCATCAAGAGAAAAAAATGTTTTGCTTAGATGTAGGGGGGTACATGTCACTAAATGTTGTGGCTGAAATGTTGTTGTTCAGTGATGATGTTTGCTGTGGCTTATTGGTCTGTCCGGCCATTCTCTGGTTGAAATAGCTCTATACACAGGACTCTCACCCACAGAAAATTTCCATGCATTGGCCTTTCTATATTTGAGCAATTCATACTGCTTTATGTAAAAAGAATCTAAATTATCCCATTAATACCCTGAAGTTTAAATCAAAATCTGCCAGTACAAAACATTAGCGTATTATATGAGGTCAGAGACTAGTCTAACCATTAGCCTTTGCAAACTGTTTAAAACACACACAGGGGATAGATACTTAGTTATGCAACAGATAGCTGCTTCTATAAGAACAGTTTGCTAGTGTCTCCGACAAGGCAAAGTAAAAAGAATCAATAGATTGCAACAGAATGCTACTTCGATATACTGTGGGAGGAATATGAGTGCTGACTGCCCTCAAGGCTTTTCATCTGGTCTGCAGTTAGTACCTTGACCATCTCTAATCTGATGTCTGTGGCCCCAGAAGACAATCAACTGTGTCCTCTCTGGTAAATTACTACAAAACGCGTCAAACCATTTCTTGTCTGTTCACACAAGAGCAGCTAAAACAAAGTAGGGTTTGCGTTTGATAGCAACAACTTTCTGACTTTTCAACTTTCTCTCTGCATGAAGAGTTAATATTGCCACATCTAACTTGTTGGAGAAAACTGCCTGATGCTCTTAAACTAAACTAAACTAAATTACCTGGTGGGAGCTGAATGTTTTGGATATTTGGTGCGTTTTGCTGAGGCTGGGTGAGTCGAGGGGCCAACACCTGTGGAGCAATAGTTCGTATTCCACCGGGAGTAGTGGCAGCGATCGTTGACGGCACTGAAGTCCTCAAGTTTTGCAAAACAGTAGGACTCCTCATGGTTGCGGTTGTCCCTGTCGCAACAGTTGAAGCCACGACACCAGTCTGCATTATAGTCTTTGTGAAGTCGACTTTGTTGACGAGAGGGCCAGCCGTGCTGGTGACACTGACGGCTGGTGATGTTGAGACTGTGGCAGAGTTGCCTCCGCTTTGTGAGGTGTTAGTTGGAGTTTGCATAGGTGGCCTCACAAGCGTGACCGTGGGTACACTTTTCACAGAGGGTTGAGACGAAATCACAGGCGAAGTCACGGCATTGTGTACACTAGCCGATGTAGTCCGAATAATAGTACTTGGTGCAGCAGACAAAACTGCCGTGTTTCCTTTGCTCACAGATATAGGTCCGTTGTTTACAAACGTGACAGCGGGCTGGGAGTTGCTGCCGCTGCTGTCAGCAGACGCACCTCCGGGGATATGACAGTTCATCACCACAGAACTTCCATTTAAAGTTTGAACACCAGTTTTTCCAGCTTTCCCGGCACAAGACGTTGCATCTGATACTACCGTAACGACTCCGCTAGCTGTCCCCGACTTGGACTGACTCTGAGCGGCTGTCATGCTCGCTCCAGCCGCCGATGTGGTCCCTGCTGCTCCATCCATGCTCGAACCGAGGGATCCCGTACTGTTAATGATACCTCCTTGCACTCCTGTCCCTACAGCAGCGGAAACACGTGAAAACAAGGGGGTGTCGAACAACTCTCCGATTCGCATTAGTTTCGGGAAACACACAAGTGAAGCTAAGTTAGCTATAATCAGTTTAACAACGTGACCAAAATAAGCTAATGTTAGCTAACCGGAGTGGGCAGCTATCTTACCTGCTTTAGCAAGCTCTTGTTGTGAAAGTCCCATTTTGCTGCCCTGAACATTGGAATTACTACCTACAGCTGAATTGCCGACGTGATTTGCTGCAGACTGGATCTTTGCTTTTGTGTTGATGTGACTTGCTCCTATCAGCTTAGACTCCAGAGACCCGACCAGATCACTAACTACTTTTTCGTCTACCTCTGTGTTGAAGAAAACATCATCCAGCAAATCGGAGCCCGCCGCCATCTTTGCACAGCTACGCTCGTTCTTGAGACGCATGCGCCGATTGGATGCACCCTGGGTGACGCAACCTCACCGGGTGCTGTGATTGGTTCGTCGAAGAAAATAAAATCTGGAACAAATGGTTGCGAGCCGCAGTTTGGAGTGCCAGCGGTGGGTCTTAGCTCCACGGGAAAACAAAGCCTACCTCTCACAGAGGTGTTCCTGGTGGGACTTTATCACATTGAAGAAACTGTCTGGGAAAGTTTCTGTGTAGTTTAACATTTCTTTGTAGATTCACGCACAGTATCGAAGCATTTTGTATCCATTTGACTTTATCGTAGACGACTCAAAATGGCTGCGTTGTTGCTATTTTTCCAGGAGACCCACAGAAGCTACCGTAGCGCTCTCAGACACACAGCAGTGTTGTTTGGCTATCTGGATGTCTAACTCCTGAGAGCGCCGATGAGCAATTACTAGAGAGAGTATGTTCAGGTTTCTTGACGCCACAGGAGTACATATATGTGGCTTGTACGTTGAGAAACATGAGAAATGTTGCCAGAACAAGTAACAATATCACACCACACACCCTCCAAATAAATGTTCCAAATAATCACAACTGTAAATTATGCCACATATCAGACAAAATGAGTCACATATTAAAAGTTAAGCGGCTAAAGGGGACTGACAGTGGATAAGTGCATGTTTCATTGCCAGGTGCGTTTCAGCCAATCAGTGGGCGTAGTTTCACGTCACCTGTGGACGCCTATAAATTGTTTCTGGTTGCTCCATGGTTTGGGTTGTGGCATGTGATGTGCGTTCTTGTGGACATTTGTAAGGAGCTGGCCTGGATATTGTGTAACCATGAGTTCAGCAAAGCCGTACATTGGATGTAAAATAGGGTTAATTTCAAAAGCCCAAAATCGTTATGAGGGGATTTTGTACACAATTGATAAAGTAAACTCTACAGTAGTGCTGGCAAAAGGTGAGTGATCTAGGCCCATGCACATGGGGATGATAGCAGTGCTATTGAAACATGGATGTCACTTTGTTTGTTTTCTCAAACATTGTCTTTTTACTAGTGAAGTGTTTTGGAACGGAGGGGCGACCCACTGACAGACCAACACCACCCAAAGATGATATCTATGAGTACATCACTTTCCGGGGAAGTGATATTAAAGATATCACACTGTGTGAACCTCCAAGATCTCACCATGGCCTGCCCCCAGATCCTGCAATAGTACAGGTATATTAGAACTGCATGGCTCACAACCCACAGTAAGAGAATCTTAAAGTGGGAAAAAAAATCCAGATAATGTGAGTTCAATTGTTTTAATGTATTTTGTTCAGTCCTCCAGTGCAGGGGCTTCAGGTGTCTACTCAGCTCTTGGCCCATTCAGCCCCCTAAGGATGCCTGCCTATAACCAGCTTTCTGCCTCCTCTCTACTTAATCAACAGTATGCTGCAGCTCTAGGCCTTGGTAAGCAAATGAGCATAAATTAATTCATAGTAAACTGACCACAGACTCACACCCTTAGTCTAGCTGTATGCTTTTAAGTAAGTTGTTTACATGCTACAGTATTTAGTTGTGTTCATGCAGGATCTGTGCTTCCAGGGTTACATGTTAGAAGGGGTCCCATGGTGGAAAAGGCTGTTCAAACCCTCCAAATGGAAAGGTCTAGGCAGTGGAGAGGCTTGAATCCATCCCAAGAGCAGGAGCAGAGGTGGGAGAGGAGGCGGCTCCAGAGGACAAGAGGAGACAGTTCCCAGACCAGAAGGGGCTCTGGAACCATCAGTAAGCATGTAGAGTTCCAGGGATGAAAGGCAATATAAACTACTGTCCTCTAATTAATTTTGAACAGTCCTAAAACATTTTACAATTGTGTGCCAGCTTATGGAAATTCTGCATATCTATCTGTGCAATCGCAAGCAAGCTTAAAAGTGAGCGTGAATGTTTTTTTTTTTTTTTATTTTTTTTTTTATTTAAGTGAAGTCAGGCCCAGTTGTGCCCAAAGCTCAGCAGGAAGCTCGACAGCAGAATGATGAAAACAGGCCACCACCCCGAAGAAGACAAGGTAATTGGTACCATACAGGTTTGTTGTGATTATTTATTTTTTTGACACAAATAACAGGAGAAACTGCTATTAACAATCAATGCATTTTTTTTTTGTTTTGTTATGTTTTAATTATTCCCAGGAGCTCGGAGGCGCAGGAACCGTAGTAGAGGCCAGTTGATGGTGGCTAATGCTCCATCTGCCACCCTTAAGTTTGACACAGACTTTGATTTCGATTCCTCAAATGCACAGTTTATTAAGGAGGAACTGGAGAGGGAAGGGCAGGACAGGATGAATATGAAAGGTTGGTTCATCAGCTCAAGTGATCACAAATGCATCACTGCATTTTCATCTTTTGCTTTATCATTATTATTATTATTATTATTATTATTATTTTTATTAATTTTTTTTTTTTTTTTTTACACTCAATTCTTGTTGAGGGGTCAGCTTAACCCTTACTGTGTCATACTATGATGTACAGTTATGAATGCTCTGTCTTGCAGGTCAGCTCTAAATCCCTTTTTTAAATTGTAGGTAGTAGCTTAGCATCAGCAGCAAGGCAGATTCTGGTGCTCAACATAGTGGCAGTGATTATAGCACTTTAATGATGATTATCTTCTCTTTCCATGTGTGCAAATATTTTTCCATTTTGATGTTACCCTTGTGAGGTTTTCCAGAGCATATCCCTCCAGGTTACATAAAGTGCATGTTTCTGTCTGTAGATGGAAATCATGAGGTAGAAAAGAAAGAAAAAGAGAAATTGCACTCGACTGCTGAGGATGATCATTTTGGACCAAAATGCTACTATAACAAAGCAAAGTCCTTCTTTGACAACATCTCGTCTGATAATAAATTCAGGTAAACTAGTGGCATTTTTTATTTATTATTTTTTTATCCCCAATAGTCAAACATTAATGTCTCCAGTATGTAGAGCTACAAGCTTCTGCCTCTTTTGCTTTCAACCAACTGTTTCAGACTAACATGGGCAGAGGAGCGGAAGCGCAATCTGGAGACTTTTGGGGTCCCTGGACGGTTTCTGCGGGGCCAGGGCTTCAGAGGTGGATATACTGGACGAAGAGGACGGGGCGCTGCTCAGAGTCTACCTTCTTTCAGAACCAGGAGTGGACAGCTGTAAAGGTCAGCATTTGATACAGGGCACTAAAGCAACCCCTGTCCCTGCAAACTCCACTGATTATTTCCCTTATGTATATAACAAATGGGGTTGTGTTACCCATTTACCTGTCTCTGTGTCTTTTGTCATGGTGATGAGCAAAAGCAGCTCTGTTGGTGCTGTAGGAAGGATCTTTTTTGTTTTTCTCCCCTAGGCAGTAACCCTGCACCCATATAGCCAGGATTTTATTTTTTATTTTTATTTTCTTTTTTTTTCTCATTTAGCTTCATTTTTTGATTATGGATGCATGGCACACTAAATGGTCCATTTGTGTGATAATTTTCTTTTTCCTTGGGATATTTGCCTGAAGAGTATTATTCTTTTTTTCTATTAGATGGCAGTGAATATTGAAGTTTGGTGTCTTCTACTTGAGAAATTTCACTCCTAATGTTTGTTTCATGTTCAGTATTTGGCTGTGCAGCTTGGGAGTATCATAATTTGTATTTATATTTAATTAACAAATGTTGTAAACTAATGAACTAAAATGTATTTAAATGTTAAATCTTGTGCATTGCTTTATTCTATCATATTGAAGCAACAAGTGAGAATAATGGAAATAAACTGGAAATTGCTCATGCACTTGACTCATGTTCTCTGTCGCTACCACACATTGTATTGTGTTCTTATATAGTCTTTGACATGTGTTAGAGTGATCAAAATATATGGAAACCTTGGGTGGAACCATCCAACTCACACATAGGTGATCACACATCCTAGTGTCGGTGTGTTAACAGGGAGACTGCTTCCTTGTATTTTTAATATGGAACTAGTGTTTTTATTCTTCAGCATATTTATGGGGGGCGGTGTCAAATTCTAAGGCAACAAAAGTCTTAGATGGGTCGCTTGATTTATGAAGACTGCAGCCATCCCTGATTTTAACAATAGCCTAACCATGGAGCTGGTCTATATGCGTGTCAGGTGCATGGTGGTATGCTCACATATGTGAGCAGGAGACTGTGGTATCATAATGTGGAGTTTTTCTCAGTTTGCCTAAAACAACTTTTGCAATCACACTTCTCAATTGCTCCTGGGGGTTTTGGGGCACTCAGCAGCGTGTACAACGTGGACTGATTGGCTTTCATGAATCAAAGGATACCTCGTCTACAGTGAGGGAAAGTGGTAGGCTACTCACTGCCTGGGCTGTACCAAAAGATGAGGGAGAGGGATTTTCCCCTATCATGTAAGAGTTTATTATACGTGTCGTCATTTGCATGCAAACTATAAATAATACATTCAGCAAAATCGCATGTTTAATCACGCTCAGAGATATCCAGTGTTTTCTAATTTGGCTTCCTTGGCGACAGCGCGCTGGCTTTGTCAATACCCCTATTTCCTAGTAATGGAGAAACTATGGAACCAAATAGAGGGCAGCGCTCAAGATAATAAATATTAGAATAAAAGAAGCGCTTTTTATTTCACATATGACAAAATGTCTGTGGCATTTTCATCGGCGCGCCCCAGGAGTAAAGGGGAGGTGACACAGCAAACGATTCAAAAGGTAAAAAAAAATCTTGATGCGTCGCTGCGTTTGTTATTAAATATTCTAGTCTGGATGGGAGTGTGCGGTCCGCCGCTAGTGCAGGGAAAGTAGCCTGTGGTGAATATCAGAAGAAATGGCAACTGGTATTGTAACGGTACAGTCAGTTGAAGGTGCGAACCAAACAAAGCCATGGCGGTGATGTAGGCGACCGCTGTTACACGCGCAACACTGGCAGAGTCCCTGTGTCCTTGTGATGCTCTTCTTCTCGTTTCTTTTTCCCGACTAACAATGAATGTTGCTTTTTTTTGTATGTGAAACAGATCAGCTTTAGATTTTCTGACTTGTTTCCACGAATTTTAAAGCACAACACCTTCTCTGGGTTTTATTAGTTAGAGGTGCCGGTTCCTTGGCAGACAGTGTCCCATTAGGTTTGAATGGTTGTTGTGGACAGCCGCTTTGTTGCAAAAAAGAAAAACAACACATATAGGCTATATAGACACTGAAAAGGACAGGGTGGTGTAGGATGGAGGGAAACTGAGCAGCAGGACAGTTATCTGCTGCTGCTTTTATCCTTGACTGAACCGTTTATACGAATGTTAAACGCACTACTCATCTTTAAAACAGGGACTTTCCAGCGATGTCCTAAATAAACTGAGAAGCTGTGCTGCTTCATTTGGCTCCAGAATAAAAGAAAGAAGAAGAAGAAAAAAAACAAGATAAAACTGACCCAGAAAAAAAAGGTTCCAGGCTTGAAGTTCTGAGAATCCAGGACAACATAATGTCTTAATGGGACATATTATTGTGCATAATTTACCATGCACTGTGATTTGAGATCCTGTGAAATGAGATTGTTCTGTTGTCTCCCAAAGATGTTGGATGAAAATCATCATTTAATACAATGTATAATGGATTACCAAAGCAAAGGGAAGACAGCCGAATGCACACAGTAAGTCTTTTTTTTTCTTCCTGACCAATGCCTTGTACATGTTATATCAAAGCAATTGTGATAAAGTAAAGCTGTGTTTAATTTCCCCCTTTTTTGACAGGTATCAGCAGATCCTGCACAGAAATCTTGTTTACTTGGCCACAATAGCAGATTCAAATCAGAACATGCAGTCACTACTTCCTGCGGTGAGTCCCTCTTGAGGTTTCAGGAAAATGTAGTAGATTTCCCATCATTCTGCTCCTGCCATCCAACCAATTCCATCATCTTCAACCCTTTCTGTCGGGGGTGTTTTTGAGTACCAAAAGAGGATACGTTTGTATGGCACAAAAATTTGCTTTCCGTTCTGCATGTAATTTTCCACTGATCAAACTATATCAAAATGTTGTCTTTTATTTCAATCAGTGCACCATATGAGATTATGTCAATATGAAGTACGGGGATCAGCAGCAAATATAGATCATGTATAGTCTGAAAAGAAATCTTCTGCGTCTCACCTTTTAGCCTCCCACTCCCAATATGTCAATGGGCTCTGGAGGGATGGGTCAGAGTGGAGGACATGCTCCAAGCAACCTCAGTGACACCATGGCACCTGGATTGCCCCCCACATCGATGATGCAGAGCCAAATGAACAATGGTGAGAGTGCATCAAAAATGTGCATTTTATAGATCACCAGAGAACTCTGGTCCATGTGAACATAATTTACTGCACAAACCCAGACTTGGTACAGCTCCATTTTGTCGTCTGTCCTCTGTCTTGAGTGCTTGTCTGATTGTGACTTTGCTGCATGTTTGTCTGCAGATATGATACCATGTCCTGTCTGTCACAGTGCCTCTCTTTTCTGTCTTATTGCCTGCAAGTGTCTGTGCTCTTATGCTCAGCTAATAGTCCCATAGTCCACATTTGTTTGCAGCTATAGCAACTTTTGTTTTTTTAATTTATTTTCCTGATCCATTTATACACACATCATTATCACTCATGACTCTATCCTTGTATAACCACGCAAGCTTCCTGTAGAGATGAACTGAATGTGGGTCCATGATTAACATGACATGGTAGCACATGGGAATGTGTGCTGGCTGCTCTGACTGTGCGTGTGTGTCGTCAGGCCCCAGCCATGCCCCCATGCAGCAGCAGTCTGTTCAGGTGCAGTCGGCTATTCCCTCCACATCCCTCAGCCTGCCAGCCAGCAGCTACGGTAGCTCAGCCTCAGCCTCCGGCTACAGCCATGCTGCACCTTCCTCCCAGGGCAGCATGATCCAGGGCCCTGGTCCTGGTTATGGCTCTTCCTCTTCCTCCACATCCTCCTCTTCCTCCTCCTCCTCCCGCAGCAACCTCAACATGCAGTCCAACCAAGGTGAGCCAGAAGAGCCCGGTGAAACAGAAATCTGAATTTTTTTGGAAAGGAATACTTTCAGGGTTATGGAATTAACACTCCAAAACCATACTCGGTGCAAGATGCCTAATATGTTTTTTACTTTGTTACTTGGGTATAATGCCTTTCAAGTGTTCAGGGTAAGGTAGAAACCACATGGTAAAACAGTTGGATGATTTCTGAAATATCTCTGAATGTGTTCCTGACAATCTCCGCCTTGATCTTGCTTAAAAGAATTTACTTACATGCATATCTGCATTCATCGATATGTAAATTCCCTCCTTGTCCAGTGTAACTGTGCGAATAACCAGACACATTCAGTTCATCAGAGGGGGGTCCTGCCTCCTCCATTCTTTCTTCTGCTGCAGGCTTTACCTCTCCTAATCTCTGACCCCTGACCCTGAGATGCAGCCCTTCTCTCCCTGGATGTCTGTTCGTATTTACTGTACCTCTGTTTATGCAATGACTTCACTGGCTTTGTTTGCATTTATACTTCAGAGCGGCATCTTGAAAGAGTCTTGTCAAATAGATTTTTCTTTATGAGACCCCTGACTGCTGTGGACCCGTTTTGGCTTTTTCGTGTGCCCTTATCGCTATGGACCTCCCTTTACATTTGTTTATTTGTCAGTTTGATTATGTACATTTCTTATGCTGCTGAATGCTGATACTGATGCATGCCTAGAGTTTATCTGTGTATATTAATGTATGAGATCTCTCCCTCCATAATCCCACCTCCTCCCTAGTCTCCATGATGCACCAACAATCTGCCACTCCGCACTACTCCTCAGCCCAGGCTGGGGGCCAACACTATCAGGGACAGCAGGCCATGGGCATGATGGGTCAGGGCAGTCAAGGAAACAGTATGATGTCTCAGAGGCCCATTGGGTCCTACCGCTCTTCACAGCAAGGTAGGTGGTAAGACTTCTCCATGCTACTTTGGTTTAGCAGTGAGCTCAGTGAGTTTGTTTGTGGTGTGTTTGAGTGCTAAAGTGCATAGATGGATGTGTGAGTGTGTGCATGCGTGCGTGTGTGTGTGTGTGTGTGTGTGTGTGTGTGTGTGTGTGTGTGTGTGGGGGACTGCTTGGACTGTCTACCAGTTTCCAAGTGTTCCAAGTGTGGTTCTTGATGCCAGTCTCTTAAGTTTCCAGATTGTTAGAGCTGCTAAGTTTGCTGTGGAAGCCCCTGATAAGTACTTTCATGGCACCATAGTATTAACTAATGATCATAAAGTGAGAGTGATATTTAAAATATGCAAATGAATCCGGGTTGCCTTCCTGCAACTTTAAGAGGCAGACTGGAGATGTATCACTCCAGTCACATTAGGTTCCTGTCTCTGTAAATCACTTAACTTGTGCTGTGTCAGCATGTGCCTAATAATAGTTCCACCCTGTCTGTTATGTCTTTTGAAGACTAGGCACCCAGTAACTCTGATATATAAAAAGGATGGGATACTGTTTCCAGGGCAACAGGCCATGGTTGTAAGTCCTCATTCAACCTGGTACACTATTATCCTTGCATGACTGGGTGAAGTATTTCCAGATAGAACAGCGTTATGGAATTGTTGTGTCCATAGTTAAGCCGGGTGACTCGCCCAGCGACTCCTTGATTGGCTGTGGGGCTGTTGCTAGGGCTCCTCTATCATCTGGATGTCCTTTTTCATACTGGGAAATATGTGATATGTTGCAATGAGATTGTTTTGAAATTGTTCGCAGAAGTGAAGATGAAAATGTTCTCCATGCTAGAGCTCATTTCTGTATTTGGAAACTTTTGGGTCTATTGTGGTTTGAAAAGAAGATTAGACTGTTCACGGTTCTTCGATGCATCTTCCAGAGAGTTTTTGTTCTGTTGGTCCTGTAGATAATGTTCGATAAAACTGAAAGGGAAAGGGAAGGAGTGGAATCTGGAGTTTCTGCACACCACCATCAAGCAGAGATCAGATTCTCCCTGATAACTGGCTTTCTGTAATCCTCATTTTCTCTTCAAAATTACATCTCGTGTATTTGTTGGAATTGCTCCACTTTAAATAGTGTTTCTAAAATTTGAGTTGGCCTGAAATAGCTTTCTTCATATTATTTCTCCCCCTTGGAAAATCATCACCACTAAAATGCTACATTATCCAATTATAATTATAAACATCTAATATTAATTCACTTTATCAAATGTTTTTTTTTCTTTCTTTTTGCCTCACAGCTTAAAGATGACTTCCATGAAGGTTGTCTATAACACTGTCTGTTATAGTCTTTACTCTCTGTCTTTTATTATTCTTAATATACACGTATGCTCACACACCCCTTCAGACTGCCTAAATCGCCCAAGTGTTCTGGCGCAGCCCCATTAGTCTCCAACTGTTTAACCAATCGTGGTGTCGCCTGTCTTGCAGGATCTGCACAGCAGTACATGGGACAAGACGAGTTCTACGGAGAGCAGTATGGACACACTCAGAGCTCCAGCGAGCCCATAAACCAGCAGTATTACCCTGATGGTAATCATGCACGTCCATAAACTTTATACACACAGCTCTCAAACACACAAATCCCCATTACAGGTCATGCCATTTCCTTTTAGCACTATCCCACAGGCCTGAGCCATATTTACTGGAGTGCTGAAGCTTCAGCTCTTCTGCCCAGTCACTGTCTTTTTACCTAAGTGTGGGAGATGAAAAGTATTGAAAGAAATTGCAAAAGACTAACATTGGTCTCAATTCTCCTTCCTCCCACTGTGTCTGTGTCCATACTGTCCCCTTTGGTGTGCCGAAATTTCAGATTTCAGAGAGTGCTATAGCAGTGTGTTGAGGAGAGAGCGCAAACCTCTTCCAGGGTGTTTCTTTGTGCTTTGTGCATAATGTTGAAGTGAGAAGCCTTGAAAGTGTTTGTGCTTGTAATTTTGCTGTTCCACATGTATTATGAATGTTTCAGCTTCAAACTATGAATAATAATTTCTCTGCTGTATCTAAGTCTGTTTCGCCTTTTGGAGAGGAGTTTTTGCATGTGTTGAATCGTGTTCTCCACAGGTCATGGGGAGTACTCTTATCAACAGTCCTCATATGGTGAGCAAGGCTACGACAGGTCCTTTGACGAATCTTCACAGCATTATTATGAAGGAGGTAACAGTTATTCACTTTGCAGTATCAAACCATGTGTTTTAGGTATAGTTTCCTAACTCACAGACGTAATAGCTGACAGATCCATCTGTGCATGTATGCCTCCAGGTAACTCTCAGTACAGTCAACAGCAGGCCCAGTATCAGCAGAGCTCTGGCCAGCAGCAGCCCTTCAGCCAGCAGCAGTACTCCTCTCAACAAGGCTACACAGGGCAGCCACAGGGATATGGTTAGAACAATCCCTAACCTACAGTACTGTATGCATTCACACAAACATACGCATAACACAATGAACAAATATATTAAGTGAAACCTCTCTACCACAGGACCTGGCCAGGGTGGATCATCCCAGTATTCTCAGTATCAACAGGGTCAAAGCCAACAGTATGGCTCCTACCGCTCCTCCCAGGTAGGCCCTGGAGCACAGACGCAGAGGCCCTATGCCTATGAACAGGTACCTGACTAATGCCTTTAAAATATTCATGGAAATATGTATATAATTTGTGTAAATAGGTTCAAAAAGTCCAAGTGTACACTAGCACACATTACACTTTACAAAAAGGTATGGTACACAGTCTATGGGCTCCAGTCCAACCTCTCGGTGTAAATCTTTTCACATTGCAGGGTCAGTATGGAAATTATCAGCAATAAAGTACCACATCGTTCTCCTGTTGGAAGAAAATGAGATGTGCTGGGCTCAGCTGTGGATTAGAAGATCTGGCTGCATTTGATTTATCATCCTTTCATAAATCATTAATCATCATTTTTGCTGAGAAAAAAAAAGTCAGATGTGATGCTTTTTTAAAAAAAAAATTGTACCTGATAGATGAAGTGCTACTGGTCACCCTGCGAACAGTCAAGGTGCTTGTAGAATCAAGGCAGTTGATGTAAACCTTCCATATGGATTAAATAACGTACTGAAAAAGGAGCAGTAAAGCCTCAGCAACCTGCCTATATCCTGATCTTTTTCTGTCTTTGCCTTTCTCTTGTCTTTGTCCTATCCCCTGCTTTTATTGTTTACTTTACTTTACAAGCCTCTTTTTTATTCTTCCTTATTTTTTGGTGCACAGAGAATGTCTGTGGTTTGTGAGACCAGGGCTATAAAAAGCAAATTGGCCTTGAGGGAAATGCTCCTTGATATTTATCTAATAGACAAGGTCCAGCTTTTGCTTTAATTGCTAGTAGAGACACTGTTATATCTCACAATAATAGAAATTCATTTTATGAAGGTGAAAATGTTGGTCCTTAAACCTGACTTGATCAGGGAGGTTTGTCTGTGTTAGTCAAACTGTGATGTGTTGCTGTGTGGTCTAACATTATGTGTTTTCACTCTCTACATATGTCTACACAATAGATAGCTGACTGATCAGGATTTAAAAGTGTTTATCATTGTCCATGATAATCATACATTGTGGTAGTATTTTTGACACTATATTTTCAGTGGCATTGCTCCGCACAGACATACAGCATAGTTATTGTGCAGAGCCAAGAGGAGTTACACTGCTCTGATGCCATTCAGTGAGGTTTCTACATAAAAAGACATTGCCACTTTGTCTGCACTTTATTTTGCAGTGACAGTATATGTATTGTTTGATATTTCATATTGTAGTGCAATTCAGGCTGTTTTTTTTTTTTTTTACAAATGATCCTCAAAAAGCCAAAGTAACACAGGAACAGAACAGTATCGTGTCCTGCACCTCTACTTCAATAAGTGCAATACACTCAGTCAGTCATGTTGAGGTTGGTTCTTATGGTGAACTTACATTTTATGTCATTATTTGTAGTTTCTTGACATATAATGATGGCAAAGACTATGGCTGGTTTGTCTTATGTTATCAAATGTTATGTTGTGGGTTTCAGCTGACATATCATATTTAAGAAAATTATTTTATGTATTTATGTGACATGAACAGATTATTCGAAGTCTTTCGTCACAAACATAAAGTGTACTACTTCATTTTTTTCAGTGCAGATTTTATTATCAACTATCTGTATTGTATTAGATGAATGAAATAATGTTAAAAATAAGACAAAGGGTATAGAAGGTTTGTTTTTAATTGGTATACAAGCACACTTGCCTTATTTTTACATATTTATTTGTTAGTTCATTATCTATCTATCTATCTATCTATCTATCTATCTATCTATCTATCTATCTATCTATCTATCTATAATAGGTCAGACACACCTCTGGTCATTTCATTTATCACTGTTTCTTACAGTTTGATCAGTAATAAGGATTATCAGTGTGACTGTGAGGGTTCAGCTTTGCAGTATATCCTGTTGTAACTCAACTTACCTCAGAGGGGTAACTTAACACAATAGTTGCAGTCATGTTGCAGGGTTAATCAGGAATGGGAGATATCTGGCTGTCAAACAGCTAAATAACTATGTACCACTCAACAGTGACAATCAGTGACAGGCTTCTCTATACTACAATGAATCTGTGTCAGTGTTTCATTTTACTGTGACCTGAACATGTATGGCAATTCTTTTCCAGTTCTCTGTAGTGTGTAATCACTGATGTGAGTGGTACGCCTTGTTTGTTTGTGCGCGTGCGTGCGTGCGTGCGTGTGCGCGTGTGTGTGTGTGTGTGTTTGTGTATGTATGTTTGCAGGTATGCCAGGGAGAGCGAAAGAGAGACAGTGAGCAAGAGGAAGTTAAGCTTGCTGTGTATAGTCCAAATATGAATGTTATCTACTCATCTATTGTAAGACTGCATTGCCTGATCTTTTCTGCTGTCTTTTGTTACTGTTTGTTATATAAAAATAAACTGACATTCACCTTTTGTATGTTTGCATTTTGTGTATCTATTATTGAAAACATCCTTACAAAGGTTTCCCACTTACCAATTTTGCTAACACCTTCAGCAAACGCTGGCTAGTGCTGAAAATACGATTTCCACAAAAACTAAATATGACATTCTGCATTCTTATTTTATAATGTTGTAACGGCTGGCGAACTTATATTTGCTTAAAAGCACTTTTCGGCAGGTCCAGTTCATTTGCCTGTTCACTTTCCCTGAACACGTCATCCACCTTCCCTTTGACTTTCAACCACATCCACAATGATGATGGCTGACTACCGAGTGACAGGCAGTGTTGTGGCACGATTTCAGGATAAATACAAATTGGTTCCCATAAAACAAGGCAATACATAAATGTCCCACTTTTTCTAAACCCAGGTCAGTTATTATAATGTTTATTGAGACTGCATTTAAAAAGGTCTTCAGGTCTTACCTCAAAAACATTAACCCTCCTGTTATGTTCGTTTCTCAGGAACAGCAATGATGTTCCTGGGTCAATTTGACCCGGGGCATGTTTAATTATCCAGAAGTGTCAGAAACCAAAAAATCCCAATAAACATTGTTTATATCTCATCATTAACTCCATTACTAACCATTTCAATCAATATTTAGTGTAATGGTGTTCTTTACCTCTCACAGATCATGATTCAATGAGGATAATTCACTCGTTTTTCATTAAAAAATGCATCTTAAAACTTTTTTTTAATGTAGTTTGGAAAGACCTACATATAAAATACAAGACTTTTACATGACATTAATTTTTTTTAAATTTTATTTTACATTTTGAAATTTTTTTATGGAGTGATGTTGATAAATTAACACGAGACACCTCTTCTGTTCATCCAGTGTGACATTAGGGCCTGGGTTATAGAGTAGTGGAAGTTGCTCTACCCACTTGTCCTACACTGTCCTGATAGCTGCCAGCTTGTCTCTTGTCTCTCTCCCATCTGACAGCCCTTGTCTCTCGATTATCAAATCAGATTACTCTGGAGAAAATATGAAAAGTCTCCGGAGACATTGTGGCACGAAATATAGCCCTGCCTGTCTCTGCATCCCACGGACTGGCTGTTAACTCATCCTTTGATTTATAGACGCCAGCCAGGATGAGGACCCCCAGATATGCATGTAAATGCATTTTATCCTGCTCCTTCCGCTTCTCCCCTAAAACACACCTTCCTTCTAGATTAGCCATTTCGATAATGATTTTCTGTATTGAGTTGGGCATGACCAGCTCAAAAGCTGACTTGATGTCTGTCACACTAGTCACTGCCATCCTAGTGGGCCCTGGCACTGTCTTTATTATGTTTTCTGCAGACAGGTTGCAAATATTCGAAATTAACCATTTTAATTTTACATGTTGATTACACTTATTAAGCCAAGCAGAAGACGTTTCATACCCAAACAATACTTTTAACTATTTTTTTTAGATTTTTTAATTTTAAAATGGGTCAATTTGACCCGGAACATAACAGGAGGGTTAAATCATTGAAACGTTCTTTATATTTTCTTTTCTTTATATTTCATGCTGCCCAACTCTCCCTGCAGGACAGGGGGGGCTAGAGGACCAAAAGTATACCGTAATTAACAATCGCGTATACAAACTGTCCTTTCACGGATTCCGTAGCTGCTAGGGGTAGCTGTGGCATTTGTACATGAGAGCTAAGCAAATATAACGTGTTATTGGGTTTTCTTTTATTATTCTATTTAAAGAAATGTATGTCCATCCGGAATTGACAGTATTAATAACAGTATTTTTCAGACAGTATACTGTTTTGCTCTCTACTCGTGATGTGTAAAAACGGTCGAGGTCACATTGTTAAACAGTTTGCCAACCAACTTGTTACCTTAGAATAATGTTGGCCACGTTGTCGAGAGTTAAAACCCCTCGGTGGCTTTCTCCGGACATACTTTCAGGGTACATACCAAGAGGAAACGAACTGAGCTTGTTCAGTCGCAGTAGTTCTCCAGTATCAGCGGCGTGGAGACTGAGAGTCAGAGATGTCAGCACCTCCTCCTCGCTGTGCGCCAAAGTCCGAGGAAACCAGAAGAAGGGAGAGCTGTCAGAAAAGAAGCTGGTATGTATTTGGGCTACTTGTAACTTATTTGTTTTCTTCAACCTGGTGTTTTTTAAAACGGATTTATAAAAGGGATATAGTCAGAGAGTGTGAAAGAGTAAATTAATATAAATACTAAAGAACGACGTTACATCATTTGTAATTGTGGGGCCATATTCAGTGTTCAAAGTTAGGTTTGGAGTCAGTTCTCTGCTTTTGATGCATGTATGTATGTAATGTGGAACTACCTCATTATTTTTTCCACCTCACTGCCTCGATGATAAAGAAAAATGTCTTCATATAGATGGATCATTTTCTCAATCTGTCTCCTTATAAAATGCTCAAATTATACCCTTGATATTCTTATATGAATGGAAATCAAATATATCTACAGCTGATCCACCATCGGTAGTACACCTCTTGGCTTTGAAATGTGTGTCACCCAACTGTCTAATTATTTCTTGATGTTGCCCATAGACCCGTCACTTTGTAGACCAGCGCCGTGTGAAGCTGGTGGCTGGTTCAGGCGGTAAAGGTGCCTGCTGCTTTCACAGTGAGCCCCGAAAAGAGTGGGGTGGACCGGATGGAGGGAATGGAGGTGATGGAGGAAGCGTCATTATCAAGGGTAAGTGGGGCCTTCATCTGGTCTATGGAATGTGAACTCACATTGGTGTGTTTGCCATCCTGTCTTTACACACCATGTATTAATTACATTTAAAGGACTAGCCATCCTACTGTCTACTGTCCATGTTTTGTCAAGAATCACAAACATTAAGGAATTTTCCTCTCTAAGAATTTCTTTAAAAAAGGTGCCAAGTTAACACACTCTCCATTCTACATAATGTCAAAATGTGCTTCCTTCTATATTCTTTATTTGTGCGTTTTCAGCTGATCGGTTTGTCAAATCATTGGCACAAATAATTCCGATTTACAAGGGAGAGGATGGGCAATCAGGGGGCAGTAAAAACTGTTACGGCCGGAACGGCAGCCCAACTTATGTTTGTGTAAGTTTATGCATTTGATCATAAATAACATGTAATTTATGAACACTTTTGTCATATTCGTGTCATTAACCTACTGCCTAACCACGCCTGTTTTATTTTTCCATTTGTAAAGGTACCATTAGGCACCGCTGTGAAGGAAGAGGGCAAAACTATAGTGGACCTTTCTGAGCATGGTCAAGAGTATCTGGCTGCATTTGGAGGAGCTGGAGGAAAAGGGAATCGATTCTTTCTGTCCAATGAGAACCGTGCCCCCATGACAGCAACCTCAGGAATGCTGGGCGAGGAGAGGGTCCTTCAGCTGGAGCTACGCACCATGGCCCATGCTGGACTGGTGAGAAAAAGCTGTTTAAAATTGGAAATAACTCCTTTGCATTACTGCTTTTTAACAGCACAAATATAATGAACAGATTTTTAAAATCTATATCCCATCAGGTAGGGTTTCCTAATGCTGGAAAATCATCATTATTGAGAGCCATCTCCAATGCCAGGCCTGCTGTTGCTGCTTACCCTTTTACAACACTCAACCCACATGTAGGAATTGTCAATTACAGGGATCATGAGCAAGTTGCAGGTAGTTGGTTTTAAGCAAACCATTAATATATTATTTCTTATTTTACAACAGAATAATAAAGTTTTAATAGGAACTTGCTTTGGATTATGTTTACAACATACAGTATAACGTGTATTTTCCTCTTTTACTCTTGCTCTTTTTAGTTGCTGACATCCCAGGCATTATTCGAGGAGCCCATCTAAATCGAGGCCTGGGCATCTCTTTCCTGCGTCACATAGAGCGCTGTCGTTTCATCCTCTTTGTTCTGGACCTGTCGACTCCGGAGCCCTGGACTCAGCTCCAACACTTGCGTTATGAACTGGACCAGTATGAGCCTGGTTTGTCCCAGCGCCCTCAGGCCATCATAGCCAACAAAATGGACCTGCCTGAGGCCCAGGAGAAGCTTGAGACTCTCAGGAGCCAGGTCATTGAGCGGATCATCCCTGTGTCAGCTCTCACTGGACAGAACACAGAGGAGCTCATCCTCCACCTCAGAGAGCTGTATGATGGCTACCGCCAAGGACAAGGTAGTGGGAAAGGTAAACCCACCAGGTCATAGTGAAAACTATTTCCTCTTGCTCTGTTGATATCCCTACATTGTATATTTATACTGGAAGATATAAAATGTATTTAATAAATATGAATATATAAACAAGACAATTTTAAACGTTTGTGTTTTATTGACTTTCAGTATATTGCTCAATACACTGAAATATTTTTTTTTTGGATATGTTGAAATCTTTTAATGTAGTTTATAACAGCTTTATGCCTCACAGCATGTAGGCCTACAGATTTTGACAATGGTGACATACAGTACCAGTCAAAAGTTTGGACACACTTTCCCATTCATGTCAAACTTTTGACTAGTACTGTACATACTACATGTAAAATATAGATGGTATACTTTTACACTCTTAAATTGAGGGTCAGCCTATTAAGACAAATAAATCATAAAAATTCAGTCTATATAAAGATATTTGCGCAGATTAAGATATCATGGATGATTTTGAGAAAAAGTCTGGACATCAAAACTGTAGAGGCAGCAGGTTGACTGGGGAAAAGCCATATTTTTAAGTCCTAAATTAACCAGCAGAGGGCGTGCTCAATCAATCAGTGCCTAATTCAGCGACATCAGAAAATAAATGTTATTGGAGAAATAGTGGGGAGTAGCACACATTTCAATTCATATGCAAAGTTTGTAGATAAGCAGAGCAGGAGCATGCTGTTTTGTTTGTGCATTGTCATTCCAAATGGGTGGTATGTTCTGTTTGAGGTTGAAAACTAACAGGAGTTAGTGTGATGCACAACTGCCCTCTGACCCTGTGTTGTTGTTTTCTGTGTGCAGTAGGTTTTGGGTGTTTACTGCGCCCTGCTCTTAACTTTATTCCCTGCCTACACAAGCACAGTGACTCATATGTATTCATGGAGTGATTTGCCAGCAGCCCTTAATTGATGTGTGTCTAATGGCTTAAATCCTACATGCGTATATTGTGTTTATGGAGCTCTTGATTCAAAAAGGACCACTTAAGGCAAAGTTGCTTGGACGCTGATGTTGTATTATGAAGCAGTCCTTAAAAATGTCAGGAAAGGAGTAAAGGAGTACAGGAGCACTACAATCAGTAAAAGAATAATAACACCTTTGTGATTTTTGCATTTAGGTTAGAATTAGTATTAAACAACTGGAAGAAGAGATAGTTCATATATAAGAGTGGATGGATGAGCAGAGACAGATAAAAGAACCTGTTGCCCTTTAGACAATTGGAAGAGAAGGTTAATGAATGGGAACATTGGAGAATAAATGGCCTGCACTGCTGTTCTGTTATACTTAAGAGGTAAGAGCGTCAGTGGAAACCTACCACTGTTGTGGTTTCCTGTTCTTTTCATTGATGGCCTACGTCAGCCTCCTCCCCTGGGGCTGGTGTTGTTGTGGAGGCTGCTGTGGCACAAATTTGGTGTTAGTTGACCATTGAATAACTGATGTAAGTTGGCTTCACTGATATTATGACAAATGCTTTCTTTACACTTAAAACGTTAACCTGACAGCCAATAGGATGCAGCTTGTATTGGAGAGAGTTGTTGTGGCATCTTGTAGCTTGTTTGCTGAAAACAACTGTTGAACAGTTTGTCTCCATACAAAATGTTTACAAAAGACTAATATGGGCTAAAAGATCTGTATAGCTTCAGAGTGCATAATGCTCTGTGGGTAACCTTAAGCTACTACCTTTGCATTACATGTAGTCATTAGATTCATCGTTAATATACATATTTGATTAATGCACATTTAATATCCTTGATATGTGATTAAAATGTTTCAAACTGAGATTTTTTATTTGTTCACAGGGTGATGTGATAATTGGCTTGCTGGTTGGTGAGAGGTCAGCTGCTTTCTTCTTGGAAGGATGAGCTCCCAGGCTGCTCTTCACTGGCAACTTGGGCACAACAGACTGCAGGTCAGTGTTGGGTTAGCTGGGTACTTAGGTTTTCTTTCGTTCTTTTGTGTTGTATTGTATTGTATAGCGCTACCCACTGCAACATTTATAGCCAAAGCTAGTTTGCAATGCCCAAACAAATATTCACAACAGAAAAACACACAGGGCACAAATATCAATAGAAAAAAAGCATAAAAACATATCAAGAAGCATCTGATCATGACCAACATCTTCCTATTCTGAGCTCTGTAGGTAAGTTCCAAATATCGCTCCCCAGAACAGAGACGTTTATTCTTTCTTTCTTTTACACACATACCTACACACTCACATCTTTACTATATTATGTTCGTGATGAGCAGTGCACATTTCAGGTGTGTGGACCAGACAAGAAGCTAATGTGTTTTTTTGGTTTTTTTGTGTGAACCAATGAAGGTTCCTTGGAGGAACATGTTGTTGAAGACTGAGGCCATGAACAGTGGAGAGAATATTCACTTCTCCCACAAACTCTACCTCATCCCAGGTGGGAGCTCTCTAGCTGTGCCTGTAAATCATTGCTGTAGTGTTTTTCAAAACAAAAGGAACAGCAGAATATGACCACCTGGTATATACTGCACCTTTGTCTGAGTCTTGGAACTCAGTTCTCAGTTTCATCAGTTCCATTCATTTTTGTTGTTTTTTTTTTACCCTTTGCACAGCTTCCAGGGTGATCCTGGTGCAGCAGCCCTTCATGGAGCGTCGGGCGTATGCCGCCTTTCTGCGTCTGTTGCCCCAGGTGGAGCTCACACACGCTATCATGACCTCACCCCAGTCAGGCATCTTTGAATACCCTCCCCCAACTGTTGGCACAGCTTCTCTTGCATGCTTGGTACTATCATTTTATCTTTTATCGCTGTGTGTGATCACAACAACTGTTGTTTACTTTTACATGCTATTTCATGAATGTGATCTTATTATTTTGTTTTTTTTTATGGCCAGGTGTGGTAATGAGAATTCAGGACTATCCCCTTAAAGGCCTCCAAATGGAACAGCTACTCCCACGCATTCTGCACACTGGTTCCTCCAGGCTGGGTACAGCCTCAGGTAAACAACACACACCTTATTTGCTGGTGCAATTATTTAATGAATCATTGTTTTGGTGATTTCTCCAGTGACCACATGCAATTATGTTATTCTTTCCACTTTCAGTTCCATCTTTCAGTTGCCCTTTACATTTATTGTGTATTGAGCCCACACCATGAAAGAAACCTCACAATGTGTTTGTTATTATAGACACAGTATATGTTTAGGTACATGAATTCATACTCCCTGGTTTAAAAAAAAAAATCCTGTTACAGTTCATTTAGATCACTGCTTCCTGAAGGTTAAGATCATTTGCCTAATAAGGTATCGCCCCCAAATAAATTCAGCCTTGCTTTCAGCCATGAGACAGAATTAAAACCTTGTTTACATTTAGGAATCACAAAATGATATGAGTTAGTAAAGTCAAATCAGCCACGTAGTCACTATCCATACAGCAAATTACACCAGATTTGAATTCATTATATAGGTGACACTGCTATTTAGAGAGCATAAATATAAATACTACAGTAAATGGTGTGTTGAAAAGTATTATATAATGTTACTGTAATTTCTTCATGGCTAGTTAAGGCAATGATCATAGATTCAAGTAGTGTCATTTTTTGTATAACCACAAGAAGTCAGTATTTCATAGGAAACATTTATAACCTTGATAGTGTCAGATTGTTTTATGCTGAGAACATTAGGCATGGTGCGCATCAGGCGTATCGGTAGACAAGTATTTGCATATGTGAGTGTGTTTGAATATGTCTATGTGTGTACAGTAGCTGTGTGTATGTGAAAGTTTAGTTTAACAAAGACAATTGTTTGTAAAGTATCAAAGATGACTTCTGATCTTTGCTGAACCTGCACATAATATATTTCATATTCCATTCAGACATTTCCTATATGTAGAAGGAAATAACACAGCTTCACATCATCCTTTACATAATATAGACTACTTCATATGATTCTATAATTCATTTGATGTGTGGATATGTACCCACATTCAATTTCACGCATATACACACACACAAACACACAAATGCCTGACAGTGTAAAAGAACAAACACAAAACCAGCTTGAAAATGCTGATAGTGGCTGACTGGAATCACCATTCGTCCTTCAAAAGTATTTTATTTACATAGTGACATACCTGCATATTTTTGACAGTCATATTGAAAACAGTGAAAGCACGACAAACTTATACTGTTTTATGTGACCATAGCAAATGCTAAAACAACACATCAAAAAACATCCCAAAAAAGTGAAAGCAAAAACTTTGCCTAACATACATTTTTAAGAACCCCAAACACACTGAGACACCCATTTCCCTGTCATTACAATAGATCATCATTGTATGAATACTAAATGTAACCTGTAGTGAAAGAAACTTTTTTTCACTATACACCATATTGACTTGACTATTGAAAGTATATACTAAAATTCAATTTTTGATTTTTCTCAACTGTTCCCACAACCCGGCTTTCATTGTTAATACTGTGTTATGATAACCTATCTCGCCAAACCGTGTTCTCATGCCCCTGACTACATAACCATGGTTCTGTGTGGCTTGCATTTTATCATGCTAACGTTTGTATCAAGTGCTGCTGTGTAGAAAAAGGCCTTCCAACAGGAGAGTGTACTTTTTGTGAGCATTTAAGTGACACATTTGTTGCCTCTTGTTCCTGGAATTTTTTGTCTTAGATTTGTTTGACCTTCAGTAGGAATGACATTTTATCTTTCACGCACTGGACTTAAAAACAGGTCCAGTAACATTCTATGATGCAACATCTCAGTTGCTAACAACCGTCTCTGTAGCAATCCTGACTGAACTCTTCTTGCCTTGTCCTGTTACAACAGCAAAAGTTGTTTGTTTTTCATCTCAAAATTTCAGCACAGAAATCAGATGAATTATATGACCAACAAAGAGATAACGCAAAGTTAAATGGAATCAGTGCAGTTTTGATTAACAGACATATTCAGCTTTGTATGCGCAAGCTTCTTTCTTTCCAGAGAATATAGTCCCTTATCTTATAATGATAAACAAACATAACAACAACATAATTTCAGCATCTGACTTTGAACATGCATCAAAAATCCATATCTTAGAATTGCGATAACCTGTGCCTGGTATTATCTAAGTTCTAATGTTCAAATTTTCCCAGACAGTCATTCATGAAGCCAAATGTAGCTGAAGGTAGCATAAGAGTATGCTCAAAGCCCCTGTAACATTTAGAATTCAAAATTACCTACAACTCACAAATATGGTGGAGTGTTCATTTTAGTTTCATGGCTTTCAACTTGGATCAGAGTTCCTGTCTTAAGTTTTTCTGTTACATAAGAGGTTTTCGTACTGTAGACAGTGCTTTCATTAGGCATGCAGATTGAGGCCAGGGTACTAAACCTTAAATCCAGGTCCATGTCTGGGTCAAAGGAAATATCGGAGATGGAGATTGCATCAAGCTCAAAGTTGTGCCTTGTCTCTCCCTCCTCAGCATACACATGAGGAGTATAATCACACAGCTCCACTCCGGGTGCCTGGAGAGAGTACAGCCTCTACAGCACACACAGCAGAAAGAAAAGAAAAGGAGAACATTTTTAAAAATAAAAAGAGAAACAGAATTACCTCTAGGCTTTGTAGGATTGATGGAATTGTTGTCATTACCTTATTTAGTATTTGGAGCAGAATCTCACGTCTGATTTCAATATTCTCTTGAACTGAGTATTTACTGTGTCCTCCCCAAGTCTGGGAAATCAATAGCAGATATTTGTATGAATTCAGCTTTTTTAAATCTTATCAGAAGTCCAACATAAATTGTCACAGTTAAATTGTATGAATTTAAAAAAATAAAGTAATAAAATGAGGGATCATAGTGTAGATAACAGTACCTTATACATTAACTGTCCCTGCAGCTGTTTCATTCTCATGGTTGATGATGCACCCTTTGACTGGAAAATCAAACGTTACAATGGTCAGACTTCACATTACAACAGTTTTTGTAATATGATATAAATTTAAATAACTGCAGAATGTTGTGGATTAACAACAACAACAATAAAAATAATAATAATAATAATAATAATAATGATAAAAATCATAATTTCAGTACCCAACGCGCAGAGTTGTTGCGTGAAAAAGTTTGTTCCATTAAGTTCTGTCTCTGTGATAAATCTATACAGCCACCCCGTGATTCAGCCGTGACCTGGGGGACAAAAAGCATGTTGAGCCTTGACAACACTTAAAAAATGTTAAAGGATAAGGTTGGCAATTTATTTTACATTTTCCTAGCTGTCAACAAATCTCATGAAAAGACTACAAACCATCAGTGTGTTAGTTTGTCTGTTCAACTTTCTCAGCCAATCTTTGACTTTAACTCAAGCTAATTTGTTTCAATATATAACAAAATGCTTGAAACCTGTCACAAATATACATTTTTGTTTTTATAAAAGACTAAATTATTTATTTGGTTTGTTCATGGATGTATGTGTTGACAATAAAATAAAATTAGAAAAAAAAAAGATTATAACAAGATTCATCCCTTAATCTAGACTATGCTGCCACTTGTGACACAACAACAACAACAACAACAACAACAACAACAACAACAACAACAACAACAATAATAATAATAATAATAATAATAATAATAATAATAACAATAATAATACCCAATGCTTAGAGTTCTTGCGTGAAAAACTTTGTTCCATTAAGTTCTGGCTCTGGGATAAATCTATACAGCCCCCCCGTGATTCAGCCGTGACCTGGGGGACAAAAAGCATGTTGAGCCTTGACAACACTTATTATATTTACACCTTATATATTATTTGAATTGGTGTCCATTTATCACTATGCGACATTAAAAAATGTTAAAGGATAAGGTTGGCAATTTATTTTACATTTTCCTAGCTGTCAACAAATCTCATGAAAAGACTACAAACCATCAGTGTGTTAGTTTGTCTGTTCAACTTTCTCAGCCAATCTTTGACTTTAACTCAAGCTAATTTGTTTCAATATATAACAAAATGCTTGAAACCTGTCACAAATATACATTTTTGTTTTTATAAAAGACTAAATTATTTATTTGGTTTGTTCATGGATGTATTTGTTGACAATAAAAAAAAAAAAAAAAGAATAATAAAAGATCATCCCTTAAATCTAGACTCATGCTGCCATTTGTGAACAATAATAATAATAATAATAATTTAATAATAATAATAATAATAATAATAATACCCAATCCTCAGAGTTGTTGCATGATAAACTTTGTTCCATTAATCTTTGTCTCCGGAATAAATCTGTACAGCCACTAGTTTTAAAAAAGGGTAAATAATTTTTTTTTAATGGATGTATTTGTTGACAATTAAAAAAAATTGAATATCACAAGACCCTTAAATCAAGAGTATGCTGCCACTAGTGTAACAACAACAACAACAACAACAACAACAACAACTACACAAATAATAATAATAATAATGATAATAATAATAATCGTAATAGTAATACTAATACTAATACTGCTACTAATAATAATGATAATAATAATGATAACCTCCGTACCCAGTGTAAATTGTTCATTTGCTGTTGAATTTTAGCTTGGGACATGTCGTACCCTGAAGTGGAATGGTCAGTCACTGTTAGACCTGGTAGCTTAGGGATTGACTGCAAAACAAAAAACAAAAACATTTCAAGGCAAGTCATGACTGCACAAAAGTAAGAAATTGAATTACAGCACTTTTGTCATGATTCACGTTGAAGTAAATGTATACTTTACATGACTCACTTGCTTTGTTTCGATTTGTTCCACAGTCTGACTGTCTACTTCGTTTAATGCACCAATAGCCACCTGTTGAAAATGTGAAGACAGTCTTAAGCTTTTACAGCAACACATCATGGTTTTTTTACTTTATAACAACTACTTTTTAAACATGATTTTATAGGCACTAGCACATACAGTGTGTGTGTTAGCATGTATGCTAGAGTGAGTGAAAGAGAGCCTACAGTAATAATCAAGTACAAATAAAAGTATTTACTTTGCAGTCAGTTCCTGGCTCCTCAGTGTTACAGTTCTTCAGATATTGTCCCAAACCGTAATCTGGGCTTGGTTTGAATTGTTTCTTACATGTCACGAGACCAGCCAAAAGTAGCATAGCTGGTATATAAAGACCACACACACACAAATCAAATCATTGACCAAAGGAGGGGCTCAAAACAAAAATCTAAAACTGCTATTTCATATTGTATACTGTATGTAATACATGTAATTTAGAATATTTGAATGAAAATTGAAATGAAATATGTTGTATTTTTTTCAACTTTCAACATAAAAATAAGGCAATCTCATTAACAATAATCAAAGTATTTCAGACCTGTGACCTACCTGAAAGAAATAATATGCTGAAAATGATGATGAAAAATGCTCCTGGTCCTGCTGAGGAGGTAAAAGATTTGCGGTTGCGACAGTTTGGCTTCTCTGTGTCTAAGCAGTTACACACAGTAACTGACAGGTTGTGGACAGCGGCCTCGCCTTGAGCGTCAGAGACTTCTACCACCAACTCATGGTGTCCAGAATGAACTGTCATCTCTTTCACCAGGTTGACTGAATGCCCTGTATATCCAAAAGAAATTTTTGTGTTACTCAGAGTCATTGTGACAAACTTGATAAACTAGACTATTAGAAACTAGAGTTTGATTTGACAGCAGTGACGATGATCTTGGCTCCTGTCAGAATTAGAACTCCCCTTGCAAAGGGTCGATCTTCCATTTGCCATCAACATCTCCGTGGAGCTTGAAGCTGAAAGGCCCACTGTAGGGCTCTTCATCCAGGTCCAAGGCTGTGATTTTGGCCCATGAGGGTCGATCGGACTGGCACATTTCAATTATAGTTTCAGTCAGGGAAGGAACATTGTCATTCTCATCTTTAATGTGGATGGTGAGGGTTGCAGTGCCTGTCATTGGAGGTTTACCTGGTGACCAAACATATGTGTTGTAAATTTTCATTCATGTAATAAATAAATTGGAATCAATAACATAAACAGTATGTGAATAGTCCTCCAGATCATACCATCGTCAACGGCATATATGTTGACCACATAGATACTTTGATTCACAAAGACTGACTCTCGGTCTGTCATCTTTGATGTGGTTACTTTCCCAGTTTTGGGGTCCACTGTAACCCAGCCAGCGGGGTCCTCTCCTTTTATGTATCTGAAACACATATGTGTGTTGTGTTAGACATTTGCAAGTTCTCTAGTGGAATACTTATATAGAATATTGTTGTCCTGTAAGCTGGACATGTAGCTAGTATCTTCATGACTTACACAAATGTGTTTTTGCTGCTGACATCAGGGTCTTTAGCTGTAAATGTAACCAGATACTGTCCCCCCTCAATATTCTCAAACAATGGAACTTCTTTGTTGAATTCGTCGAAGATCGGAGACTCATTGACATCCTCCACAGACACTGTCAATTGGTATATGGATGATCCTTCTCTCAGCCCTGTCACAGCCCCACCACCACCACCACTAGCAGCACTAATAGTAGTGACTTTCCAAAGACCAGCGGCACTTTTACTCTCCACTCTGCACGAATAATAGGGGAGTTCATTCTCCACACTGATAGTCACATTCCATGCAGGACCATCCTCATAGTTCAGATGCTGTAAAAGAAGCAAAGATCGAATGCTGGTTTGAAGACAAAAATTGAAATTCATGCCATGATGTAATTTCACATCATACATCGAAGGACTTTTTAAGAGGCATAATGCTCATTATACAATAGTAGTCAGTGATTTCTGTGATACAATACTAAAATCCCTAGAAATATTATGTATTACAGCATGTCAAAGAGGCCCAAACATAAAAACATGTTTTAGCTTGTTTACAGTAAAATGGAAAAGAGGATGTTTTATGAGTATCTCAGATTTTTAGACAATAATGTCTGAAGGAAAAAAACAACGGTGGAAATGGTTGCATTAACATTTTAAATAAAAGGTACAGTGGAACACAGTTATTGTGGGTCAAGCATTTATCCCTGAGCAGGATGTAGCCATAATTGAGACTTCATGATAGCTAAAGGACAGACATCAACTGAGGTCATCTGTGGGTACAACAGCACACAGGAAATCAAGTCCACTGTAAAGTGCGATCCAAGGTGCTTTAGCATAAACCATAGTCCTTACTGTATCTGGTATAGTAAGCCTGGCACAATTTTTGTGGCGTCAGAGTTTGATATATTTTCACCAATAATCTGTATCTGACTGTAGCTTGAAAAGAATATGTAGTATGAACGCAGACCAAATACCTTCTTCACATAGAGTAGTCCCTCGTTTGTGTCAGGATCAGTACTGATTCTGAAGTAGTTGCCTGCCTCTCCTTGGATTTGATATTTCACTCTCCAGGCATCTGTACCTTTGCCGTCTTCATCTTTAACTTGCAGCCGTGAAACAAGGACATTTTTCTCTCCTTCTTTCACTTTCCCTGGACCCTAGAGTCAAAAAAATAAAAGAAACTTTAATTATTAAAAGAGGCTGTTGTACTGTAGGCAACAGCTGTCTTTTCCTTACTCAAGGTAATTGAATGAATGAATTGCTCACTCTTTGTCCTGTGATCTCAGGACTGTGGTTATTTCCATCTTCTATGTTGATTATGACAGTGCAGGAGCTGGAGAGCTGTAGTTTTTCTCCACGGTCTTTGGCCTCTACTATAATGATGTGTTTCTCTGCTTTCTGATGGGTTATAAAGAACAGTCACTTTCCAAAATGGAAAAAAAAATCACAACATATTTGACTTGGTCATGTTATTGAAATAAAAAGAAGGAAGAGGGAAATTCCAAGATCAACAGATATGATATTTTTTTCCTCTTACTTCATGGTCCAGACACCCTTTAAACGAAATGGTTCCAGTTTGAGTACCAGCCATCTGAGTTATGTAGAACTCCACTTCCTCTGATTTATAACTGGTGGAGACTATTCGTAAAGTAAATAGTTTGTTCTTCCCGTTGTCACTATCTGTTGCTTGAATAGTAATCAAGTTAGTGCCTGTCAGTATCAGAAGAAAAAGAGCAGTTTGTTTTTATTTTATGTTATTTTGGTCCTTGTGGCATTCACAACAACTTTGATTCATACAAATGATCACTTCATAATAATAGCCGTGAAGATTACATCCGGAAGTTGTTCAAAATGAGTAAGTTACCTTGTAACGTAGATTCTTTTATGTTGATCACATAGATTTCACGGTCAAACTTTGGAGGGTGATCATTTGCGTCAATAACTGATATCTCAATGCCCAGCCGTGTGTCTATTATTCTACTGTCTCTATCAAGAGCCAGAAACACCAGCTGTAATGCAAAGGCAAGAATTGTGAAATAATGAAACCACTGACCACGTCCCACACCCCAAGTGCACTCTCTTACACACACACTAACCTTAAGCTCCTGGTATGTCTCATAGTCAACAGGGCCGTGGACAGTAATCTCCCCTGTGCGGTTGTTGATATGTAATATGCCTTTGGGGTCCTCATCAACACCTTGACCATGTATCTGGAAGAGGGTGAGGGTCTTCTCAACTTTAACCTGTAGCGAGTCACAACAGCAGCACATTTGTAATGATCTTCCTTCAGCTTGTCATTTGTGCTGCTGTCATATCCATGTATTGTGACTCTCGGTAGATACTCACTGTGCCAAGTGAATATGGGTAACTTCCCCTATAGCCTTCGTCTATACTAAAGGAATCTATGATCCAGTTTCTTTTTTGTCGCTGCAAAATTTCTGAAGACGACCCGTCGATTCCCAGACACTGCAAAAACATTACATTACATCACTTATATAGTGGAAGTTAAATAATAAATCCTTATGTTACATGTTGCTATAGAGTCATTTGGATGATTCTAAAAATGTCAGTCGTATTGAGGCAGATGTATGTATTAAGTAAGCGCCATATTATTAATTTTTCATCCTTATGTCCAGACAAAAGATAAATTCTTACCAGTGCCATGAAAAGACAGAGTTGTATTGTCTCCATATTATATCCAGATGATGTGTTGTTTCAAAAGTTAATCCCTCAGATAATAGACTGTTCCCTGTATGAACCTGAATGAAGGCTGAGCTGCATGCCAGGGCTGCTTTATCTCTGTCTGTCAGAGTGGGAGGGATATAATAAAGGAGATTTCACATGAACCTGAAAGTTGGCAAAAGTCATAGCATCAGGGTGTAACACTTTCTGAGGAACATGGTGACAATGAAGGTGCTTATTTTACTGTTTGTTACAGAGCATATTATGTACTATTGTCTTTATTTCTCTAGAGCCTTTAATAACATGGTTACAAAGTGCTTCATATTGGTGCACAAACAAGAAATTGTACTCGTAAAAGAAAGCTTTAGTAAAACAGTTGTAAACAGCCAAAGTACATAAAATACATTAAAAACACAATGAATGAATGAAAGTTTTTTTAGGTTTTCAAAAGTGATTTAAAAGCAGGTAGCTTGTTTGATGAAATAATCTATTATAAATAAATATATGATATTGAGATTGGAAAATGATAATGTTGTAAAGTTTAATATTGTGAAATAATATTTAACCCTGCTTCTTTTCACTGTAACAGAGATTATGAAAGGTAATTTTTATTTAATTCCAGCATTTCTGATCCAATATATCCTTCTTGAAAATTTATTTTTATTCTTAAAAGTCCATTTTTCACAATTTTATTTTATAATGCCATGCTTCATGGTGGTACTTGTTACTCTTATCTTCCCTATATTCACCTCCAGTTTTTTTTTTTACACTTATAGGTAGCACTTATACTTAAAGTTTTGTTCAGTAACTGTTGCTGTTGTATTCCTTTTAGGGAAATTGAGACATGTACATGATAATGGATAAACAAATAACCTTGGGCAGACTTTAGTAATCAGTTTACTGGAATAATCAGATCTGGCAGAATTGAGAGGCCCACTTTGTAACTCCTTACAAACTTTTTTTCTGTCACTGACTTACACACAAATTATTTTGGCCCATTATTGCAATCCAATTAGAAATAACACATGTTGAATTTAGCAATTCAAAAATAAGATATGCAGTGAAAACTGGATTATTGCGTGCAGTTGGGCACAGCACATTCTTTATTAGACAAAGAGCAAAAAAATATTGGGTTCATGATCAAATATTGTGAACAAAACTTCAAATGTCATCGTAGCTCCAAACTAATACAGAAATGTTAAGACTTTTTATTCTCTGTTAGCTCATTTTAGAAAAAATCAACTCAAACTTTGTTTCATTGATGATAATTTAACAGTAGACTTAAAGCTACTTTGAATGCTTGCACATATTTCCTTTCTTCAGTTCATCAACCTAGTCTGATTCATTAAGTATCTCCTCCCTTTGATTGTGTGCTTTGTCTCTGTCATTATAGCACCTCTGTTACATCTTAAGCAATTCACAGCAGAAAAGATAACAGATTTGGTAACTAGAATAACATTGCAGGCCCCACGTTAGGACAGTAGAATTAGAACAATCTAATGGCTCAACACTGGCTTGCTTAACAAACCTAGCTTCTATAGAATGGGAAGATAAGGCACATGCTTTCGTAAGTCTTTACATGTTCCAGCTGGTACCGTATGAAAGCGCTTCAATCATTTTGCACTCAAGCGAGGCAGCTTTGAAGCTGTTTACCGGCAGCCCTGATGAATCGACTTCTCAGGAAAAATGATGTGAAGTGTAATTGCGTAGGTGATTAAAACCTGTTTGTCATGTCAAGGAACTGATAAATCTAGCTGCTGATGTCGTGGGCAATTAAGATGGGCACTTTGGCATTCATAGAATTAAACTAAAACATGACTTTCTATTACTTTGAATTACTGTCATGCTACCTTGTGTCCTTTGGTGTTCATCAGTCCTTTTTTTTAATTGTTTTTATTTCCTATTCCCTGCTGTAGCATGAAATAACGGCACTTTTAATGCCTTGAATTGTCTTATTTTGTTTTTACTGTGTTTGTGTTTCATGGTTTTGTATGTTTATGCAGGTAAAAAATGACGTGATATATCAGTATATTCAGATAGTTTTCGGGTTATGCGCGTATGTCAGGCAAGGTCACAGGTTCATATTTGCATATAAGCTATATGAGTCTGCGCCACACCTGAACAACCTCTGGCTCCTCTGCTGAGAACATATCTAGCTTAGTGCATTTACTATTTGAAAAACAAGCTTTACAGCATGTGCTGTACCAGAAAGGGACACAAAGCAAAACATCAAATGTCACCATGTGTCAAATAAAACTGCACAGGCTGATATTGTTTTTGCAGCAATACAGGGAGTTGATGACATGAAATGGTCATAGCACATCTTCAAACAAAACTGTAGACAGCTGCTGTCATTGGTTTTAAAAAACAGTGTTCAAAAATTGGCTACACTGTACACTACACAGCATTAGGAGGGATTATCACATGAATTATATGCAGGGTGGGACAACAGTCAAAACAAGTCAAACTTTTACCTTTTTGACATAATGCCAGCGACATTTCAGCCAGTGACCACTCCCTCGGTTACAACCTCTTTATCATCTACAATTAATGTCACAGTGTTTAGATTATAGGCTATTAGTGTGCAATTGTAAAAGTAATATAAGTAATTATAGTTGTTAAAAGCTGTCAACTTATAATATGCATAATCTTAACATTTGAACATAGTGGTACAGTTTGTTGCTAGTTTTGTATAATTTTATTATAATAACTTCAACAAATGAACATCTCTTTTTCCCCCCAACCCACGTAAAAAAATGTTTTTTTTAATTCCCCCAGAAATTGCTACCAACATATCATTTAGTAATGGCAAATGCATTTTTTTTTCTAAATACTACATTTGTTTTCGAAAAAGAATACATATTTAAGACAACAGATGCAAAAATGCACATAAGAAAACAACAAAAAGCAAGGATCATAAACAACAGCCCGCATACATTTACATTAGCACTGTCCAATTTCTGCAGGTACTTGTGAAGGATCTTTTACAAAAGGGCGCCCTTGGAGAAGTTGCTTGTTTTCTTCTTCTGTTAAGTTACAGTTTAAACCATCAAAAATAATTATATCCTTACAAAACCTCCACCTGACTTGGCAGCAATCACTCTTGTTGCAGCAAAGTACAAAATAAACAAACACACCCAGTCACTGCCAATATGCTAGATTTCACCATCACCAGAGCATGACAGTTTGTGCTGTGCATTAATTCCATCTTCAAGTAAGCAACATACAGCTGCTACACTTGGATGGATTCTGATTTGGGCACCCCTGGGCAAATTCTGTATTTTGTAGCATACAGACAGTAAAACATTAGCTTTTCTCCAAATGGCAGATATCACAGCTTGCAGTCTTGCAGCTTGAATCTCTCTGTTCTTGATTCAGATTGAACTCAGATTTTTCAAATGATATTCAAGTCAGGGGACTGTGACGGCCACTCTTCTCTTCTTTGGATAATTATCCTGCTGTATAACCAGCTTCTTTTCAGTTTCACTGTGTCAACTGACTGCATGACATCTGCATCCAGAATATTTAATGGGATCCATTTCTTTCTTCAGCCGTGCAGTGTTTCCTGTTGCACTAGCTGCCACTGTTTGTACAAACATTGCGCACCGTAGAAAGGCGCAACCCCACCCCTGTGTCAGGTAAACTTCCAGCAGCTCCTTTGCAGCCATATGGGGATTTTTGCTTTCCCTCTCTGCCCAGGAGACGTGCACTTTCATCTGAAAAATTTCTTGGTTTTCCAGATCTTGTTCCGACCTCCACGGTTCCACTAAATTGACATTTTGGACAGTTCTAAATTCTAAGCTGGAATCGCTTTGATATCTTTTATAGCCATCCCAGTTTTGTATGCATCAGTTCATTTCATTTTCAGATCCTCAGTCAGTTGCTAGGTGGCGGCTATGGTTGTTGAGTATTACCTCAAGGTTTGAAGAGTCAGAATTCATCAGCTCTGGAAATTTCTTCAGCTAACAATCCTTTAGGATAATTCCTGATCTGCCTTTCAAGTTGTAAAGAGTCAATTTAGGCCTTTACGAGTTCACTGCTTGTTTTACAAGTTGAAGGATTTCCAAATGTTTGCACATGCCACAATTACTGTCAATTTTTGATATGGTCATGAAATAATGAATGATGAAATAATAATGATAATGCACTGTTATGTGCATGCACTGTTATGTGTGTTATCATTTGAAGAAGGGCTAATCTTTTTTAATGTGTATTAACTGCAGGAGTTGCATTTTCTTCTTTTCACTTGAATCAATGTAATGTAATTTGCCCAGGAGTGCCAAAACTTTTGCATAAAGCTGTATGTAAGACATTTTAGTGCATATTGTACAAGTACAGAAGCCATCCATTATGGTATTTAATTGTGCGACATATCCAGTCAGATTAATCCATAATCGCAATCACAAAACACGAACAAAGAGCGACCTACTTGATATAAAAATCACATTCTAGCTGTCTCCCTCAAAGCTGCATGTTTTTTTCTTGAATATTCTGGTGACAGATGCCTCCCAAGGTCTTGAACTTTGGCTCCAAATCATTCAGAAACTGCAAATCATCTCCCAGGTTGCTGAGTGACAGCTTATCCAGGGACTGGCATATGCTTCCCTGTCCCTCATAGGCATACACATAGGGTTGGTACTCTGGGTGGTGTACATGGTTTCCATCAATCATGTACAGTCTCTGAAAAAGAAAAAGAAAAAACAGATTTCTGGGTCAAAAAGAGGTCATACCAAAACACCAAAAAGTATAATGTATAATGATATATTCATGGTACGTTCTTTCATTGCTTAAAGCAAAGGCAGACAACCCGAGGTGGACAAAGTACACAGCTCGATTACTTGAGTATAGTTGGTATAGATACGCCTGGTTAAATATTACTCCGATACAAGTGATAGTTGTTCAATCAAATTTTTACTGGAGTTATAATACTGGAGTACTTGCTTTTAAAAATACTTTATTATTCAAAAGTAAATTTTTTAAGTCAGCACATTGTTGTTTTGTTCCACATTTACAGAATCTCATGACTCTGAAACAACCTACTGAACTGACTGACTTACTGTAGAACCTGTAGTGTGTGTGTGCGTGTGTGTGTGCGTGTGTGTGCGCGTGTGTGTGTCTATCAAACAGACAGTGGAATTGCTGATATCTATATCTATCTTCTAATGTAAGCACAACATGACTGACAGTGTAGGAGTTGGCTGTGATTGTTTTTTTTTCCTGCGACGAACAAATTGAATGTTCTTCTGTGGCTCAGGAGGTAGAGTGGGTCGTCCACTTATTAGAAGGACCCCAGCTCCGGCAGTCCGCGTGTTGAAGTGTCCTTGGGCAAGATACCGACCCAAAATAATCCGTGATGGCTGTTCCATCAGTGTATGAGTGTGTGAACGGGTGTGATATATGAATGTGTGAGTCAAGTATTGCAAAGCACTCTGAGTGGTCGATAAGACTAGAAAAGCGCTATATAAGTGTAGTCCATTCACATTTATTTACCATTTATCTTATTTTTGTAAATAAAAGAAAATTAATTTTGCTGACTAACAGCTCTACTGCAAAGTAACAAGTACTTTATAGAAATGTAGTACAATCAAAAATAAAATATTTGTCTTGTAAGTGTTGTGGAATAAAAGTCATAAGTTTCCAATATATATACAGTATATATTTAAAAAAAAACGCAATTGAAGTACAGATATTTTGAAAATTCACTCAAGTACAGTACTGTCCACCCATGCAGACAACCTAATAGTAATTTTGTTCTCACCCATGTTTTGCACATGAGCTTTACTGAATTTTAATCTCATTCACTACATCAGAACTGTGGCCTATCCACCAGTCAGTGCTCTGCAGCCAGTACAGTTAATTGAAATAGAGCATCATTAAGACAAGTGCTTTATGAAGGCATTAACATACCATGCCTGGTGTTCAGCTCTATGTGATGTGACACAAACTCTTACCCTGTTGATGTGATCTGCAATGTGTTGATCCGAACTCAGGCTGAAAGAGCGCTGGTACCTCGACGAGCTGCCCTGCTGACAGAGAGGAGTGTGAGCTCTTATAGCAATAGATTATATGTAAATGCACAGGGTTCCCACTGTTGTATATGCATAAAAAAGTGTATAAAGTGCACTCGGGGAGGTTTATATTTATTAAAAATATATTAAATCAATGAACAGCAATAATTACCTGGTAGGTGTTCATCCTGTTTGTAGTCCATGTAGAGTACTGTAATTAAGAAAAGACACATACTGTATGTTCAGTCTTCTATCCTCATTTGAACTTATCTGACAGTCACCAGGATCCACTCATTTACTGTTTACTTATTTATGAGTTATTTATTAGTGAGGATAGACTAAATATACCTTTCAGTGCAAGGTAATAAACTTCAACACACCCAAACTATTTATGTATGCAGGTTTTGTCTATGCATGTGTATGCATGTGTGTGCATTCCCAAGGAGGAGAACGCAAGCAGTGTCAAACAATTCAGAGCAAATGCACTCATCAGTATGAAATTAACAACCTCCTTCAAGTTAATGGCCAATTGCCTCGTGGCATTTCTCCTAACCAAACACTAACATAAAAACCTCAGTGCAGACGGGAGTTGTCCCAGGTGTTCCAGGATGCATAGAACCCACAGGTGTGGGAAACTAAAATGAGCAGAGAGGAACAAGAAAGCTGGGGAAACCTGGCAGTGCTGTGGCTGCACCTTGCTCGTGCCTACAGATCAGTCCTGCCCAAGATGGTAGAATCAACCATGACCAAAAACCACTTCCCAGATCTCATCTCATCTCATCTCACGTCTCATCTCGTCAAGTCTCATCCTTCACCATTACAACAACTTTTGCCTGAGGGTGTTTTCTGGAACAGTTAATATATACAATTAATAAACTGACAGAAAAAAAACAACGTCAAACAACTAACAGTCTTCCTGCTGGCACTCAGTATATGTGGTGTTAAAATACTCTTGTGGCGCCCTCTTGTGGATTTAAGTATGTTGATCCTACACGAAACAGGACCAGGCCGAGACCTAATACATGGCTGGACCACGTATGGTCAATGTGCTAAATTGAGGACATATTTGAAAACTGTTGTGTCCTATTTGCATTCTGCTTGGTGTCAGATGGTTTCAGCCATTTATCCATTTGCTTCTCTCCTCCTCTCTGGGCTCACATACACAGTATTTTTAATGCAGCCGAATTCACAACAAAGCTGTTTCCGTTGACATATATATGTTGTCAGATCACTGAAAAAGTTTGAAACAGTTTAATACAAAAAATAGTAAACTCCAGGTGAATGCAAGGTGCTGTTGAAGTAGAACTCATTCATTGTAGACAACAGGAAGTCTCCGACTAGCTTCAGGCACACTTGCACAAAGCCAGTATATAATTAAAATGCCTTTATAATAAGCAAGTTCACAAAAAAAAAGGTTGGAGGCTATGTTGCAGAAAGTTCCTAAATTTTAAATCCTATTTTAAGAGTTTGGTAACCATGGTAATCCTGATTTAGGAAAAAGGCCATTACATATGAATAGTTCCCAACTCAATGTTCCTATCCTAACTTAAGGAAGGAAAAGTGTATGACACAAGCCTCCTAACTTCCCAAAATAACTTTCTCTCTCTCCTTTACCTCCTTAACTTTAGGATAACTGCTAAGCTGTCCTAAGTGTGAGTGAGTGAGTGGGTGAATATGGCAAGTATTGTAAAGCGCTTTGAGTGGTCAGTAAGACTAGAAAAGTTCTATATAAGTGCACGTCTATTTACCATATTTAATATTTCTTAACCTATAGGAAGATAAGATGTGATTCCAAAAGTTAGTTATAATTTGCTTCTTTAATACCAACTAGGGAAAACTCCTATCTTACACTCTTCCTATTTTGATTTAAGTTAACACAGGCCCTGAAATCTATTTCCTCATTAAAGACCTGGATAAATCAAATTTAAAAGTCCAATAAGTCTCTCTCTGAAGTAATTAGTAAGGCGATCTCCACTTCTGCTCCACAAATTCAATACCCTCCACTTTCATAAGGCTATGATTGCTGTTATGACAGTTGTGGAAGTGGCACACCAAAGCATGATTCACATTATTAGTTTTTATTGCACATTTGTGTTCTGAGGGTATTAAATGATATGCCAAAATATAATGATGGCATTTTAATTATATCCTGGGTGTAAGTGTATTGGAGCTAGACCAGAGGCTTGTCGTTGTCTAAAGTTTGAAATAGTGACTGAAGCTATTTCCAAGCTGCTGCTCTGCAGCTGCTAAAATCCAGATTTTACAACCATGCCGGCGTCTGACAAAATCACCATACACATAAATTAAAAACAAAGACTGCTGTGATTTCAGATATATACACTGTATAAAAGCCATCCAGTCAAAAAAAAAAAAACAACCAATAACAGTGGTGGAGCACACTGTCACCATGCAAACACTGCAAATTACTATTATTTTAATTATTGATAAATCTGATGATTAACTCTTAATTAATTGATTTATCTTTCTGTCTAAACAATGTCAGAAAACAGCGAAAAGTTAAATTTGTCATCATATATGACAAAAAAAGTGTCAACTCCTGACTTTTAAGAAGCTAGAACCAGCAAATGGCTTTTTTGGCATTTTGGCTTTTGGCATTACAATTATCAAATAATCGTTGCATCCCTACAGTCATCAGGAAGCACGTGCCAGCAGAGTCTGCTATTGTAATCACAGCCATGATCACTCACCATGGCCTGCCCTCCAAGGCCTCTGAGAGTGTCTTTATGATGCTGCATTCCCATTGAGGTCATATTAGAGTTAATCTGTAGGGGGAAATGCATTAAGGTTAAATCAGGGTGGAAGAGCATATAGGCCAGCAGCAAGTCCTACCTATGACCTACTATAGATTTCTCAGTCATGTATCTGCAATGACTTGTTTGTGAAAATCATCATTTAAACCAATCCTGCCACTGTAAAACATTCCTTTAAATCAGGGGTCTCCAACCTTTTTTTACTCTGAGAGCTAGAGTACTTTGACAAAATAGATAACAATACGCAGACTGATCTTCAAACCAAATCAATATCATGTCATATTGACATGTCAATTTTTGTGTCAAAAATCTGAGTCATGATTCAGTCAAACCTGAACACAAACCTGATAACACCATTGTAAATAAGCATCCATAAATCTGCTAAGAAAAATCAGAGAAATAAAAAGCTCCTGAGTAAGTAATCCAGTGATAGTTGTCAATATATCCAATTGTACATAACAAACGGGAACTTAAAATAGCTAATTCAGTACACTTAATTTTCCTAGGCTAAAAAAAAGGTTGAAGCCCACATCTTAACTCACTTTATCCATATTTGGATATTGGATATTTGGCAACATATTTTCTGTTTCTTGGAAAAGTTTAGTTTACATCTGTTCTGTTATCCGGAGAAGTTGCTATCACTGCATGTCGCCTACGGCATATCTGTGGTAAGCAAACTTGACAGTGTAACTCATTTGACTGACATCTGATAAATAATTATTTGTTGTTGAAGGGGGGGGGTAGTGTTGCTTAAAGTTTGTACTATGAATCCATGGTTTGTACTATAATCTCAGAACCTGAGCTGCTGGTAGCTCGTGTACCACCTGTTGGAGACCCCTGTTTTAAATCTTCTCTTTAAAGACCTTTTACTCACCATGGTGAGCCCTGAGCTGTTGTATGTATCCATGTCCTGGGCGATCGCTGGATCCATTTGAGAGAACTATAGTTGAGCAGAGTAAATTAACGAAGCAGAGGCCAGTAAGATTCATTTTATATCTTTATATCATTTTATATATAATTTTTTGTCAACAACATTTAACAGCATTTTTATTTATACAATCATTTTATCAAATGATAAAAGCACATGTAGTCACAATATCAGCTTGTCTGAACAGTTGTCTCCCTCCTTGCGTGTACTCCAGGCAAATAAGATATTGACTTTGTACCGTGTCAAGCTACTGTTAAAGTGATCTACAGCCCGTGTTAACCCTGTAATTTATCTCATAAATGCACCTATAACATTCCCCTAAACAAGTTCTTTCAATCACATACCTGCCTATCTGTCTCCATTTTACATGTACAAAGGAATGTACAAAGTAACAACATCATAGCTGTCAATAATGTCTAAACAGGATCAACTGTCATATTTTTTTGAAACACTGACAGCTTTCGTGTGACTTCTTTGTTTTGTTCACCGACGCCTTTTAGACTCTTGCCTTTTGACACACCCAAACTAACACTTAAGAACCTGTATGTAACAAAGTCAATCACAGAAAATGCGAATGAGAGGAGTACCTGCATGGTTGCCTGTTTCAAGCCATCCGTCACAGCCACACCATTTGTAGGCGTCAAGAGCAGAGTGGGCGACGCCTGGCAGAAAGGGAGAAAAAAGAATTATATTATTATATAAAAGACTCCCCCAAAATGTTTAACATGTTGTGATTGGTGGAGGAATGTAGTATACTGTCACAATCTCCATCCAAATTGCACACGCAACACAACCAACTCACTGTGCTGGCAGCGCCCCCTCCTTCTTGGTTGTAGTTGATCAGGGTCTGGTTGCCCTCATCCTGCACCATGGGGAGTTGATTTAACCCCTTTCTTCCACACTCACACATAAAGAGGAGTAGCAGTACTGCAGACACACATCAAAATAACACTAAGAACAGAGTGTACATGTCACCTTTTCAACAAACTACCACAAAATTTCCATGGGCAATGGTGGCCAAAATAGAGACAGTCCCCTTCTTTACCACCACTGGGGAGGTGTACTGAGGAGCTTCCAGGTGGGAATGTGTGTAACTGCTTGGTTTTTTAAAATTAATTTAATAATAAAAAATAATTCGGAGGGATAGCAAAATGCAGGTCAACACAGGAACTAGACCAGCACAAATTAAGTTATGGCATGTTTAACACCTGCACAGTAACCTCAATTGACAAATTTAGTTAAACCATTAGAGACAAAATCTTGAGGACAGAATTATTCTGATCTGAGATCTAGCAGTCATCAAGAAATGTTTAAGCTACTGGATTGTATTCAAACTATGAATCTTCACATTCCTCACCCCTCTCTTAACTATGTGATCAATCGATCTTAGTGTGAGCTAACAATCTCAAACAATTTCATTTCCACAGGTAAATTAATTTGCTTCTAACTGATTTGATACTAAAACACTCTGAGGGTCACTGCAGGTTTATTGAGCATGAACTTTATGGTTAAGGTAATGTTTCCACTGATTCTTGTACTCACACAAAAACAAGAGCAATCCTGCAAAAATCAGTCCGATAGCAGCCGGCCCAAGGCTTGATGAGAGCGGCGCTCTATCGAGGCAAACACGTGCTTCTCCACAGTCACACACCATCAGTTCCACAGTTTCATGTCCACTCATGCCCTGTTGGTCCTGAATCACCAGAGGCACTGAGTAGTTGCCGTAATAGAGTGTCTTCAGGCTAACAAGGCCAGCTTCCTCACCTGGGGAAGAATGTAAAGAGAGGTCATGTAGTAACTCTTCGGCTGGAATTTTTGAGTTCGAGGTGAGTGTAAAGATATGTACTAACCAAAGGCAGGTTGTAGTTTCCATTTCTGCTCTAAAGTTTGGTCGTCATCCCCCAGGGAGAAGGTGAAGGGTCCACTGTAAGGATGGATGTCTAGGTCCTTGGCAAGCAACATGACCTTGTTAGCCGTGTTTCCACACATAATGAGGCTCTTGTTGACCAGCTTAGGCACGTTGTCATTGATATCGCTCAGGTGGACCAGGACAGTGGATGTACCTGTAGCTGGAGGCTCACCTTGATACCCACAACAAAGAAAACACACTTTATTAATCTAGTTTACCAACTGACCATACTATATATCTTATATTTGATTACCATATACAGTAGAGCTTGTTCATACCATCATCTATGGCACCGACGAGGATTTTATAAATGTTGTCCTTATCAACAAAGGATGACTCTCTGTCCATTTTCTTAGTTGATTTGATTTGTCCTGTTTCCTTATCAATGGCCACCCAGTCAGCCAGATCTTGTAATAGCACATACCTGATCACAGGTAGGAGACATTGGAGAGTGGAGCAAACATATTGAGAGTATGCAATTAAATGTTAGTGTGTAACTTCTACACTAACATGTTAGATGTCTGTTTCCATTAGCACACAAAGGCAAGCACTATCAGAGATACTACATGATTACATGTTGATGAAAGTTTTATTGTACACAGGATGCCACATTATCAGGCAAGGTCCAATAGGAAGTGTGGTGTAATTAGGACCTGACCACGGCATGAGCAGCAGTTTGATTATTGCACATATATCAACATCAGGTTATGGTTATGTGCCTGCTAATACTAAAGAAATGCCAAAGATCTGTTTGTAGTAATTTAGAAAACAGTGGCACCATCACATAATTTGCCTGCCACAGAGCACTGACAACACATGTTAGTCACAACTATTTGATAACCAAATTTTATCAGAAATGTTTGTTTATGTTATGCATTTTTGACAAAACAAACATCAGATGACATATTACTATACTATTTTCTAAACTCTCAAATGTTGTCAACTGCCTGAAACACCCAGCATAGGTTGGGCTCCATACACAATGTGTCAATAAGGTCAGCTGGCATAGAGTATGTAGCCACAAACCTGATGCTGGTTGAGTCAACATCATGGACCTTTGGAGTGAACAGCACCTTTCCTGGCATGTCCTCTTCCTTCAGGTACACATCTGCTGTTTTTTTCTCAAACTCAGGTGGGTCATTGACATCAATAACTTTGATTGTGACACTGACTGAATTTGGAGGTGGAGGCGTGGCTTTGCCAGTTGATTTATCTTTACAAACAAATAAGGGCTCCTCGTTCTCTACTCCAATCTGCAGGTCGGTAAAAGTTGTCCGCTCAAAATCCTTCCCCTGGAGGAAACACACAAGTTCATGTCAGTGCTGGTGTAACTGCTATTTATAGATAGATAGATGGATAGATAGATAGATAGATAGATAGATAGATAGATACTTTATTTATCTCCTATGGGAAAAATCAGTAGTCCAACAGGCTTTAATTTCGTTAATAATAATAATAATAATAATAATAATAATAATAATAATAATAATAATAATAAATAATTAAATCAGTTCAATGGTATTAATGATGAGAAATTATATGATGAATGATAACGTTTTGTTGGGCTTTTACTAGCTTGGCCCACTGTGAATGAATGAAGTTTGTAAAAGAGTGAGAAGGGCAAAATTACCTTGATGACGCTCAGAATACCCTCATTTGTCTCTGGGTCAGTTTCAAGTTTGTAGTTTCCTTCCTCATTCCCTTTAATGAAGAAGTATTTGGCCCGCCAGCCTGGAGTGTTAGGAGTGTCTTTGTCCTCCACCGCAATTCTCAAAACATCATTTTGGATGGTTGACTCCAACACCTCACCTTGGTACTGGGCAGGTGGAACAGTTTCAACTTTAACATCATACATCACTCTAAAGAGCAACTATAATAATGAAAATAATAACAATAATAATCCTTACCGTAGTCTCCTTGAACATTGGTGGATGAGTGTTTGTGTCAACAATATTGAGAGTAACAACAGCAGTGGAGGAAAGGGGTTTTTCTCCTTCATCTGTTGCTTGAACAACAATTTGATACGTCTTTATTTTCTGGAACAGATACAAAAGATGATATTTGAGATATCATATTGAAACATCAGTATGTGTGTGTATGAATGTACATGCAGCTGTCCACTGTATATGACACTGAGCCTCACATCATAGTCAAAACACCCTTCAAATTTGAGCTGGGCCATCCTGTCATCAACCTGATCCACATCAAACTTGGGCTCTTGTGGCTGCTGTGAAATCACACTGAGAGTGACTTTAGACGCAGGTGTGTTCTTCTGATCTCTGTCCAAGGCTTGCAGCTGCACTGACAAGTACCCTTCAAGAAATTGAGGAAAGGAAGCACAAGAGAGTGAATGTGTTACAGAAGAGTGGGAAGTGGGGAGTAGCAGGAAAAAGAACGAAGGATGAAAGATGAAGCCCAGTTTTGAAATTATCATTTTCTCACATCTCTGTTTAAAACCCTTTAGACTTCATGAGAACTCCATACAATGATACAGAGAAAATGTGCATACCCTATGGGTCATTTACATGAGTGTATACTCACCCTCTGGCGTATTTTCCTTCACATCGGTTTGGATTTGAGGTTGGAAAAATGTTGGTGGGTTGTCATTGATGTCCTTTATTTGTATGTCAAAAGCTAGTTCCCTGTCTACTTTATCACCCGTTTCTCTGTCCAAGATGTCAAACTTGATCTGTGGGTAAAGATACTCATGTGAAATGACTCTGGTGGTTTAATATCATTATAAAGTGTATTTAATCAGAGGGACTAGTAATTAGCAGTATTAGCTCACATGGAAGAGTTCATATTCCTCTCTGTCGATAGGTTTATGGACAGAGACGACTCCATTACTTTCATCAATGGAGAACACTCCCAGCGGCTTCTCAGTCACTCCCATTCCACTTATACGGAACTTATGGTTTTTCGTCACATGATCGAACTTGTCATTGAACATCTAGGGTCAAAACATACACAATTTAGCTGCAAGTGTTTGCATGTTTGATCTGGCCAGGATGCTGAGTTGCAATATTGACTAGTAATTTCATTTACAAAATGAAGTTTGCACCTGCGAAAGTTTTTTTGGGTATGGACCGGGGTCCTCTTCTATTACTTCAAGCGTAGATAACACCCACCTTCTTTTCGAACGCACCAACAGCTCCTGTAAATCACATATGCAGTCGTTAGTATTTCTGCTAGAAGCAAAACATATTGGACAGGAGTTTGCAATTCCAAACAAGAAACAGTTACCCGCTTAGCACGGCTCTGAGAGTTCCCACTGCGAGACTCTGCCACAGCTGCTACTGCAACCTGCAATGACAGGAACATTGAATAGTATACCTATGACTAATACTCGTTCTTGTCATCATATAGAACTTTTAAAGAGCTTTTAAGCCAACATAACTTGACAGGTGCCTTTTATCACTCTACACAAATCATCTCCTTCAGGATTTGATTTGTTGTCTTACTGTGTGGCTGTATGTTCCTCTGACTTTCCCTCCATTTCCTTCACTGTATTCTGCTACTATAAGACAACATTTATACACATAGATGTTTCCATTCATCAGTTTTCTATCCCCACTCATCCGGTGCAGGGTCTTAGGGAGCAGGACCATGCATCAAGCATGCATTGGGCGAGAGGTTGGGTACACACTGGTTGCCCTTCTATCACAGAGCACAACACATAAAAAAACCTTCATACACACAGACAACTAAGAGTTTCCAATTCATCTACATGTCTTTAGACTGTGACAAGAGAGCAACGCAAAAGGAGTAGTCTTTGCACACATGCTGGAGAAAAAGTAATAGTATAAAACAAGGAAACTGAACTCACACACACAGTCAACCATTATTGTTAATTAATTAAATTGCTATGTTTTAGTCAAGTGACTTTCATATGATATTTCATCTAGGAAACCAAAACAACTGACCAATTTCTCTTCATTTACCTTTGAGCAGAGTGTTCTGAAGAGTGTATGGTATCATGATTAACAGCACTGAGAAAATAACAGCAACTTAGATTTTTAATGAGATCTTGTTGAAATCAGTCCTACAGACGAACAGTGAAAAGGTATTAAACGCTATTATAGCAATTAATATGGAAAAAATCTAACAAAACTTCTGTCAATAGTAAAGCATATGGTGCAGTGAACTTTTATTTTATGCCTTAATTAGATAGTGATGGTTGAGCAATGAGGAAATGAATGAGAGAGAGAAATGCAAGACAGGCTCCTGCCAGATGCAAAACAGTGATGTTGCCATTCATGGTAGCTATTGTGATCTGTAAGCCACCATGCAGCCATACGCAAATTTAATATATGTAGATATATTGAATTTATTATATATCTATAATGTATACGTATAGACACACATTATTATATACAGCGGGTCCAAAAGTCTGAGACCACTTTCCCAAAATGAGAACACAGACGTGTTTGAAATTAATGAGAAATTAATAAGTAAAATAAGCATATAGAATTTTTATATGTATGTTGTTTTGATAAACTTGCCTATAGAAATTGAATATTGTTAACATATATGCTTGCAACATAGTATTCCACAATACCATAAAATTCATAGATATTTTTAATGTATGTACATATGCCAATTTTACTATGGCAACTTCACTCTTGACATAGAGACATATATGTCATTTATTAGCCTACATTTCTGTTTGGATAAAGGTCACTACATACAGGCATCTAATGTTTTACTGACAGTAATATTAGAAACCAGTTTTCTTTAGGCTATTTTTTTTTTAAATAACCTTTCAACAGTGTTCCACGAACTCCATAGCCTGCAGCTTTAAGTTACAAATCATAAACAATAAGTGAAGCTTCAATTTAGAATGTGTATAGGCCATCATGTCATGCTTTTGTAATAGAGAGTGTCTCAGACCGCATCTTTCTGCCCGAAACCGAGCCGAGTCCGAGAGAGCAATAACCGAGTCCAACCCGAGCCCGACGCAGTTATAGTGTAAGCTGAAGCACTGAGTTTCTGTTTTGGTTACCAAGGAGGTTACAATACCAGTTTACCCTGAATAAACGTGTTGGCGCCTTGTTGGCTAAACAGTCAAAAGTGCTGTTTGAGAGGTATTTTAAAACACACACTATGCAATATCATTATGCCACATTATGCAGTTCATCTGCATAATGTGGCTATACACACGTATACACACATAAAGAGCCTGACACTGCATACAGTTTGCTGATGTAACTTGTCTGAAAACTGGACTTTTATCATGACTTATTCTGACTTCAAATTTTTTTTAAATCAGCAAAAATGTTAACATGATAGATTTTCAAGAAAATGTTGCATGCAAATAAATGTATCGATCTTCTTTAAAAAAGGACATGATGTCTTACTTCGCTTTGGGAGACATTTTCACCTCACAAATGATCTTAAATTAAATTTACAGTTAACCAATGCAATTTAAATGTAATATCAACTGCTGTTCCTTTTGTCTGATCAAGACATTTTAAATTATGTGACTTTTAAAACCTTTAAACTATAAATACCTCAAGTTCCAGATTCGCCACCTCCACTAGGTCTACCGCTGCTGCCGAGCTGTGACTGCTCAATAATGCCTAATGCGGTTTGAAATCCCACTCTTTAATTCTTTATCATAATAACCAACATTTTTGCAGAAAACAAACAAATTTAGCAACTCATGATTGCAGCATAGCTCTTACCGGTAACACAGAGGGGTTCAAATGAGATGGGCAAAAATACCGGGAGGGACAATTCTTCAACACTTCGACATTTTTAAGGACACGTCCCTGCTGTCCGTACCCAAAGCTATGCCCATGGTCCTGCATTGAACAATAACCGCACTTGACCGAACCCGACCCGAACCCGTGCATCAATTCTAAAGTTTCAGACAGGTGTTTCAAACACCGTGTTCAAAGGGCAACGAGAGCGGTTTTATTTGAATCTGCAACCAGGCAGATGCCAACTTTAGGGCTATGACCTCTTATCATTGATATCTGCCTGACAGCGAGGTTCTCTGGAATAGGTGTGTATTACGAAATTCTTTTGTAGTAGACGTGTTATTTTTATTAGTAAATGAAAACTCTGCAGTTGCACCGAAAAAAGTTTTGCAATGCCAGATTCAGAGGCTGCCAATAACTAAATAACAGGAGGGCTGAATTATTACTCAATCAATTCAATAACTGTAAAAATGCTGAAGCTACTCCATTGAATTGCAAAGCTCTCCATATGTTACCATGTCCACAACCTGTATTTCATAACATAGTGTGAAGAACAGTTTCAGACTGTTTATCCAATAGAATAGCAGACACTACATTATAGGACATGTAGACAATCTGAGTTTCATTTCCAAGTTTACAAGTAAAATCACAAGTAACACAACTCTCTCAAAATAAACATGTTGGCATAAAAATTCATAAACATTCACTTTGTTCTTCATGTTCAATGTTATCCTAATTTTTGCTTGTTTAAAGACAGGAGATAATTCAGAATGTCCTGCTTACCAACAGAAGCAGGGAGATGGTCCTCATCTTAGTCCACTCTCCTTGATACCCTGTGTGGGAGTGCTCTCTAAAGGAGTGAAGCACAGCTTGAATAAAAGTGCACAGGCGACAACCCACAACAGCTGCAAGCAGCAGATTGGCTGACTTTGCAGCTCACAAAAGACTATTTGTTCAAGCTCATAGTTATGTGTAATTCAATATGTTAATATGGTGTTTGTACCTACAATGTGCGCGTAAGATCAGTTGGAGTAGGCTACTACACAGGTATTTGCTTGTTTTTTAGTTCATTACGAAAATGCAAACTTGTTTGTGTGTGTGCTGGGAAACATAGCTCAGCTCAGGTGTACACCCCTCCAGCTCTATAGCTCAGGTTACCATGTCTTATTCATGTCTGGCCTACATCACATTCAAATGTAGTTCCATTTCATAGTTCCTGTAAGTATTAGATTAAGTGACTGCAGTAACAGTTTAAAACCCACTGGTACAGTATACATCACTCTCTCACTCATTACACCAGCAGTCAGTCATTAATATTAATATTGATATAGACATTAATATTATTTTTACCATACACATACTGTATTATTTTTTGTTGAGTTGCCGCAGTGACACAGTCAGTAAAATAGGATTAAATTACACATGACAAAAGTAGTGTTTGCTCTTCCAAAACCTGTGAGCATGACTCTGTCCATCTCACCTCAGGCAACATTAATTGGCAGGTTTTGGAGGCACTCCCTCTGTGTAATAGACCAATCACTCCCTTGTGCATGGATCGGGGATTATGAGATCATGTAGCACAAGGCTGCAGGTGGAACAGTTGCCATCAGTTAGTAGTTAGGCACGTGGCAATTACAGAATATTTACCTGTTTATTAAACGATTATATCTATATTTGAAAAGACTAGACCTTAACTGAAAAAAAAATATGGTTAGTGATGGATCGGTACAAAGCAAGCCCAAGTTATACATTCATTAAAATAGGATCAGAATACATTATAAATAACAAAACTATTATTTAATCTTCAAATAAAATGTGAGTATGATTTATAACATGACACATTAAGCCAATTAAAATGGGCAGATCTATTGCTCCAAGACAGAACTGTCAGGTTCACAGGTTCCCACCCAATTCCATTGGGTATTTAATTTAGTAAGAGGGCAGTTATGTTGTTTCTTTTTTACTGTACCCATCCAGCATGTCAAAGATGCTTCTTGCTTACATTGATGTGATGTCTGAGTAAAGACTCATACTCATAAAGGGCATTCACAAACAATATGTGGCTGAGTGGCTGGTATATTGCTGTTTCCAAAACCTCAAGGGAAGTCAAACAGGCTAAGCAATCAAACAGTGCAAATAAATTTGATAATTTTAACAATCTTTACTTGTTACTTGATGTATTCAAACCATTTATTTAAACCATCATTTATTAATTTCCCATATAGGGTCTTGGTGGCAAGGCAAATTTATTTCTATAGCACATTATCATACACAGAGGTCATTCAATGTGCTTAACAGAAACAAAAGAAGCATAAAAGTATAAGTAAAAAGTATAATAAGAAAACAGTGTCAAAACAGCATGAAAACACAGTTTATAAAACAGGTAATATCGAATTAAAATGCCAGATTAAAAGATTAAATGAAGGCAGTGGAGAATAGAACAGTTTTTTATCTTCCTTTTAAAGTCAGTTACAGCTGGAGCAGATTTGAGCTGGTTCCAGCAGTGGGCAGTATAGTGGGTGAAAGCCGATTTTGAACATTTCAGAAAGACCAGACCATTTAGTGAGTAAGTCAGTAAAGTTTATTTATATAGCACCTTTCACAGATAAACACCACAAAGTGCTTCACAATAGATGTAAAAGACATATAAACACAATGGGGATACATAAAATCAGACAGCAGTAAAAACCCTTGTCTAACTAAAAGTCTGTTTGAGTAACAGAGTCTTCAACTGCTTTTTAAAAGAATCAACAGGATTTAAGCGACATAAAAAGTGAGGCAGTGCATTCCACAGTCTGGGTGCCACTGCTTGAAAAGGCCCTCAGGTCTTAAAATGGGTATGGGGGATCACTAGCAGCCTCTGACCTGATAACCTAAGACTGCGGGTAGTGTGAGTGTGAAGTTTCAATTAAATATTTACATTTTTCTAGATGTTAAGAAGTTAAATTTTGTTTTTGAAAAATAACTAGCTAATTTCTAGTGTGATGCCTGCAAACCTCGCAACCTACTGGGATGCGGCAGACCAGCAGAAGCTAACACACAAGGCAGCTACAACCTCTTTGGTGGAGTTAATAATAATAATAAGACTAATAATAATAATCGTAGCAGATCTGGACTCAGTAAGATTTATAAGGTGTAAGCAGTCTGCAACAGTTTTATTCATGTTGAAAATAAGGCTAAACTTTTCATGACTACTTTCTTTTAAATGTGGAAATTTGAGTTGATCGTTAACATTTCATAGAACTTGACTTGTGATGTGCTTGATCTGAGCAATGACTTGAATTGTCTTGCTTTACATACAGCAGGGACTTGACTTGACAGGCTTGATTTCTCACCACAGTAACTTGAACTTCCTTGAGACTTGCTTGTGGCTTGGACATGTGTGATTTACTCCCACCTCTGTTATTAGTTCATGGAGAAAACACAGACTGACCCCTGTTGACCAACTAACTGCTTACAGGGAGAAACCACAGCCAGGTTGTAAAATTACCTGATGCATGCATCTTATATGTGTCAGATGTTAAAAATCCTTATCTGCCCTACAGCATGTTTGAGAGTTTAGTGGGTGCAGTTTCATAAACTCAGGCTTATGTATTAGGACATAGTTACAGTGGAATGCCAACATACATAGTTCAAAAAGCCTGGGACAAGATCCTATATGCAAATGCTGACATTCACTTTCATTCACACAGTCAGTCAAGTTGTCTGCTTACAGGGTTCATGTGTGTGTGTGTGTGTGCGTGTATGTGTGCGTGTGTGCGTGTGTACATGTGTGCGTGTGCGTGTGCGTGTGTGTGTGTGTGTGTGTGTGTGTGTCTGCATGCGCACGCTATGTGATATCTTCACCGCTGTGGCTCAGTGAGTCATTTTGCCCTCCAGTTCCTGCGTTTCTCACATTTGGATCTTTTACATTGCATAACACTCGTCGCGCTCTCTCACAGCAGCAGGTATGCGACATCAGTGGAGTGTAATGCTTTCACCCTGGCCATTCCGACTATGCTTGGAGCAGGAGAGGACCACGGCTCAGTTTATATTATTTTATCTTTAAACCAGTAAATAGCAAAGCTGTCCGTTTCACTACTTTATATTCATGTGATATATATATACAAATGTCACTTAGGTGGTAATCTGCATGAGAAATAAAAAAAAAGGAAAAAACAAAACAAAAAGCGGCTATCATCCGCTTATAGAGATCAATTTGACCCAGACAGGCGTGATTAAAGTCCACTTGTCACGCTTGCTACTAATATAAGGAGTTTATGCATGAATAAGTAATTACTGTGTATGATCTTAAAACCTAATAATCCCCAACATATGAATTTATCAGAAAGCTATTGTTGTCTTTCTGATAAAAAAAATTACCTGCAGATACCTGCCCTGCTAGTCAGCGTCTTGATGGTGTGGGAATATCATAAAATTTGATTTTTACTCAGCAGCTATCGTGAGAAGACTGAAATAGAATGAAACTCTTGCCAGAAAAAATGTACAAGAGAGCTCCACCCAACTGATCTGGCCTCTGTTCATCTTAAGGCTCCGTTGTTTTGCCATCCTACAGGATCACATTCCTCTGTAGGAAACCGTTATATGCTATGCATGTACTCAAACTTGTGGAAGGTTGTAGGGTTTTAAGGTGGTCTATAGGGATCCAGGTATAAGAAGATCCTTTCATCGATCAGATTACAGCCTTCATTTCACCTTTGATTACCTCAATGAGGGAGAGAGGGAGCTAATTTAGACAGTACCGTTGGATGAAAAATGGGAGATGACAAACTGGTGGAACTAGAAAAGAAGGATTAACTAATGTTGACTTTGGTTTAATGATGTCGTTGGACTGGTTTTTTTTGTTTCTGAACTACCTGAACTTTGGGGGGTCAGCACACAAAAAGATTGATGATGTAGCGGAAAGGGAGGGTTTTATTGTAATACATTAAAATATACATTGTTTTGGCAGAGGAAAAACAAACCAGCCAAAGACCACAATGGTATCTAAGGATGTGTCATCAAAGACAACTGAGAGTAAACTACAGGCCAACCTTGTAAAACTAGTAGAACTAGAATGCCCAGTGGACAAGAAAAGGCGAGAACAGCGTCCCATGTGCGTCAGTCAGTTCTGTAAATCCCTTAAGTCCTTGGCACACGATCATACAGGTAAACAGATGTTGATTCACAATTATTTGATTCTATTTTTAAAAAATCATCAGACCAGCGCCAGTAGGAAAACTGAAACAAAATTTGCATGCCGTGATAATGTTCCTCCTGTTTGTACTGGACCTGGATACGTGTAGACGCCTATACTTAAAGCGATTTCAGTGTAAATGCACACTCTTCGTTCTGTGCTTAAATGTGTGGGTCTCTTTGTGGTTATCTTACTGTCTTTCTGGTGTGATTTTCAGCCTGTCATTCAAACATACAGTAGACTATGCCAGGCCTCTTAAGCATCATAAAATTTGCTGCCAACATTTTTTGCATTTCTTTATTTGTTACATGTTGTTATTATTGACTGCTGAGTCAGAGGGAGGTTTAGAAACATCAGAGCCGTCTTTGTGTCTGAAGGGTGGCGAACCAATAGCAGAATGTGGCAGTATGAGAAAAACTGAAGGAGAGACCAAAAGCAAGTGAGGGAAAGAAAGACAACACAGATAAACACACCATGTGGTTTATTTTTTTTAGTTCATGACAAGATGTTCAGACAGGTTAGAGATATACATCATGACTGACACTGTAAAAAGGTTGTTTTGTAATGTTGACCATCAACATTCACACGCCCATATATTGACACACCCATATGAACAAACATGTTAGACACTGTATGTAAACGAACAAATCAATTCCTGCATGGATGAAAATGTTGCTTTCAGTACAGGTATCACCTGCATAGATCAGTAATGAAACACTTTTTAGTTACAGAGTTGAAATCAAATAACGTCGTCACTAACAAGAAGAAAATGGCATGCATTTACAAACACAGTTCCACTCATGATACTGTAAATAGTTTGCACATGCACATGGCAAATCGATAACTGATTACAGTGTTGGAGGAATGAAACCTTTTGTTGGGTTTTGCTCACTGTGCCTCATTTCTGCCTCATGTTGATCCTCACAACACAACACAAGATGAAGATGCACGATCCTGTCACATGTGGCCTTTAAAGCCGTGCAGTCAAGAGCTGTCAGTTTGAAGTCTTAACGTTTTGAATGCTCAAAGCAATTGTCACCGAGCAGACAAAAAAAAAAGTAAAAGCATAACCATGAAAAAATAGACTAAATAGCTCACCACAGTTTGATGTGGTGGTCTGGTATAGCTCTCAAGAGGCGGCTGCTCTCTGTTGTAATCTAAATGCCAATAAATCCATGGAAAATCCAAGGTATTCAAATTCAAGTGTAGTAAAAGTAAAAAAAAAAGTTTCATTATTTTTTATAAAGATGCCATGGATTTTCCTTTTCTTTGCACATGTCTGCATTTGTTTGGTGAATACAGTATGACTTCCCTCCGTTTTAGTTTTTTTTTTACTTTTGCTTTACCCAGAAAGTCTAAGCAAAGATTTAGTGCAACCGTCAGGCTCCATGTGGCTGCTCAGGACCTGTGCTTTCAGTTAGTTTCCCATTGGCACTGAGAGGAACAAAGGTTCAGCCAACAAATTATTTTATCTCAGCCACAACATGTTAGTGCATGGGGATGATATGCCTTATATGATTTGCCTGAAATGTCAGGACACTTTTACCAAGAGCTTCAAGAAACTAAATCGAGTATTTAACAGATACTAGGAAAAATAGAGTACATTTTAAGTTGTAAAGAAAAGGCCAAGTTACTCAAGAAAACAGTCAAAAAGAGAATCACAAAAGAAAATCACAGCCAGGTCAACCATGCTAGGGCTCTCCCCAAAAGAAAGGAATGCAAATGTGGAGCGAGAGAGAGATCTCTGACTCCTTTGCTCTCTCTGTGCAGTAAAATTCAGTGTTTATGAGGATTTAGTTGAAAGGCATCTTTCCTCCTCATCTTCCTCCTCTGTTTCTTCATCCCTGGTTTGGGGAACAGAGGTAAGCAGCAGAGTGTCAGCATGGACTTCTTCATCGTCCGACTGGATCACGGGTGTATCCACTCCAGCCCCGCTGGTGTCACTTGAGCCAGACGATGTAGAGGACATGCGAGACTTTGAGCCACGGCAAACTTCATTTTGCCGTTTCAAAGGTGCACGTTCCCTGTAGACAACCTCTGCATCTTCATCCTCCTCATCTTCGTCTTCGTCCTCACACTCTGTAAACAGAAGCTGTTAGAACATGTTGGTACCTGTCCTTTGAGTATGGTGCACCTGCATTACTCAGTGTTTCTCATGAATAAAATGTAGGTCTGTCACGCAAATAGTGTAGTTCTGACAACACCCCAAAAAATAACTTTGTGTTTCCAAGTCAAATTTGTGCATGTGCATGCAATGCAACTGAAAGTGTTTGAAAAATGTTGTCAATGTAAAAAGGTACATTTATGACTTTATGTAGAAATTACATTTTCTAATAAGTTGTTAAGTCTGTTTTGCAGCAGACTCTTGGGTGTTGATTTTATGAGTTTCTATATCACAAAAACTACAAATAAATTCTCAAGCTGTGGAAACATTTGTAATTTTCACATCAAAGCAGTCTTGGGAGTTTTCTCATGGCACAACCTACAACAGTTGTGAACCTAAAATATTTGTTGCTTAAGGAACAAACCTGAAGCTGTAAATCATATGACTCGTGACTCATGAGGAAACCAAAATAAAAACCTAGGTTGTTTTTTCATTGGCCAGTAGAATGTAGAGATCACTAGAAGAGTTCATAGTTTCAGTGTTTGCACACTATTCCACCATAATGTCCCATAATGTGTCAATTTTAAATGAGGCAAATGACTTCAGTCTTAGATATTTACTCCATATTCAAACCACTAATGGCAGAAGGTCGTTTGTAACTTAGAGGCAGTCAGTGCACCTGGTAGTGGGGATGCCAGCGCTCCCTCGTCTGCTCCAGAGCCTGAGTTAAGAAACACGTCGAGAGCCTCCTGGTCAGATATGTCCATCAGGTCCATCTGCTCTAGGACATCCACATTTACCTCCATAGATGAGATGCTGCCCATGGGAGCTGTGTTTATGGGCAGAGCAGCATTTATAACATCAATATACACTGTACATATCTAAAGTGATACATATCATTTGACAACATGCATGATGCAGTATTTGACTTATGAGTCATTGTCACCTGGATAGTTTTGCTAATGTCTTAATCCGTTTAAATTATGTTCATAAACAGCGTCCATTATGGCTATGAATGTATTTTAAACATGTAAATAATTTGCTAAATCTTGTTCTTTCAGAGCAAAATTGGGCAAAAGTGAAACAGCTGCCCATCAGCAAATAACATTTTATATCCACTTGTCATTTAATCATTTAAGTAGTTATGCCCCCAGGACAGAAAACCATGTAAGACGACAGTTACTCACGTTTCCTGCAGTCGATCTGCAGGTGAGCAGAGGGCAAGTAGTTGTCTACATCATGCTGGTAGACCTCTTCAAAAAAGCGCTGTCTCTCCCGCATCTTCAGGTGCTGGGCAGAATCATTGTCTAACACCCTCTGAGTGTTGTCTGTCTCCGCTGACCAACAAAAAACACACAAAAAACATATCAATATATTAACTTCAACTGCCTTTTAATGTGTGGCGTATTGTCTTTTTTTTCAAATGCAAAAAAATGGCTTTCTCTTGATAGCAGATGGAATATTTATGACCTGTCTTATTCTGCCCGACACATGACGACCTGTTACTTAACTGTGAGCCCAATCTCTCAGTTGCCTGATTTGTGTCTTTGTTACGGTTGTGAAACTGCTACAAAAGGTGGTCACATACTTGATTTATAGCTTGCCAAGTCACAACTGAAATTGTTGGAAGCTATTGCAATTTAAATTTGAAGTAATTTGGAGCAAGTCCTGTCATATCTCACACTTAACACATACACAAAACAACTCAGGTTTTGACATGTTGTCAGTGTTTAAAAGAAGTTGCCGTCAATAGAAAATATTTTTCTAAAATAAAAAAAAAGCACAAAAAAAGCTATGTTTTCAATGTAAAGACAGAGTTGTTTTAGTAACCTGCTATTATACTATTGATCCAAATGTTTCTTGTTTACGTTACTCCGGTCCTTTCTTGTGCATCCTCCTCTTACTTGCCATCCACTCAGCCCTGTCTGTGACTTTTCTCAAGGCAAAGAAAAAAGTTCTGATGAGATTAGTCTGACCTCTGGCGGTCATGATCAGACATGCAGTTTGAATTTAATGGCATCACATTAGCTATGTGATTATTCTGCTGCATCTATATTTTTTAAAGTAATAATTTGTGGGAAAATGTAGCTTTTGCTTTTCCTTATTCTGTGCAAACCGTGCTCCCGATGGCACATTGCACAGATGTATCCAATCGGGGATTGCAGTCTCTGATAAATGGATGAGTTGACAGAAATTGGTCATCATGCCAAAACAGTGTTAGTCGGACAGGGTGGCTTTTTATTTACCTTTCAAGATGTTGGAATTGGTTTGGAGTGTGGTTAGAATAAGCAATTTAAACATATTCCTTATGCAAGCACTATTTTTGAGCTGCAGTTACTCCTTTCTCTGTCTTTGCAGACTCACACTGCAAACCTTGCAAATCTCTGAAAATGCACTAGCTAGCTGCATGTTGCTTTACTGGGCTCTTTTTTTTTTATGGATTTGAGTATGTGAAAATAGAGGCACGAAAATCAAGCAAGCATCTGTCCATAGGTCTGCCTCCAGCATCGACCTCTGCCCAGCTGACCAGCAGTGGTTGTGTAACCACGCTGCATCCTCAGCACACACTGTGCCTTCTCCCACTGGGCTCCATGAGCTGACACTTTGACTCATGTCACCAGTGTTTTTTATGGTTGTGTGTGTGTGTGTGCTTGCATATGTATGAATCAGTAAGTGTGTGCATGATCACAAAGACTGTATGTGTGCTTATGCATTCATGCTTTTGCTATTTAGTTTATGCTCATTTTGTCACCCAGTGTGTGTAATGTGTAACAATCTTCCATGACTAACATGTTTACAGGATGCCGGCAGATGGATCCAGCATGCACAGTAACAACATTCACTTCACTTCATCTACATGCAGACCTTGTGAATGCTGCTTTTCTCCTGTTTGAAAACAAACACAGCAACGCATCTGGTGTCACCCAACCTTCCTCTTCAGACAGCTCCCCCTCTGGAGACCCATTCCTAGTCAACCTATCAATCACTCTTCCTCAGCGCTGGAGGGGTGTGTGTGTGTCCACTGTCATGCACTAACAACAACCCTTTAGTCTGTCAGTCAAGCTGTCTGTGGAGGCAGGAAACCACTCTGTGGTTCACAGTCTCTCTGACGGATATTTGGTGATAACAGCTGGTGAAGTAACTGGGAACACAGTCAATGATATAAAGCTTACAGTGTTGTTACATATAAACCATTATCCAGATATGAATGCAAACAATTCAAATCTTGCTAATATATCTAACTATTCATTTTTTCCTGCTCTAATTATAATAACATGGAGTGGATGAGTAATATCCTATTGCCGTATCTAAGTAATTCCCACAACTGCCCCACACGTAGGCGCTGTTCCACACACTATGTGTTATACATACTGTACTGCAAACACTGCAGTGTGCTATGTCAAGGGTGACAGATTACTGTAAAGGAAAGACAGATATAAGTGAGAGGCAACATAGGTTTGACCTCAATAACTTAATAAGATAATACATTTTTATCAGATGCCAAAATATGTCATGCAGCAGTTTACGACTCAAGTTTACAACTCTGGAAAGTTACCAAGACTGCAGTTATTTTATCTTTCACGATTGCAACATAAGACAAGTATTATCCGCTAGCAACTCTTCTCCATCATCATCGTCATAATGATCAAAACACCATCTGAAGGCTTGTGTTGGCCCAGCACCTTACTCTTTGATGGGTTTTTTGCTTTCAATTTCCCTGCAATGGGTGTGTCTTTGTAAACACACCTGAAATAATCAAATATAGAAAATGGATTCGATTGACCCCCGCCACCCTCAGCCCAGGCCCCAAGAAACGTAGACACGCCAGTGGCCCAGCCATTTCCCATCAGTCCAGCAAGACAACACACAGCAAGAACAGTGTGAGTTACTCATGAGACCTATGGCCTCAACCTGACATTGTTGCCCCCTGCTAGTGTCCATGGTTCCTCAGCAGTCAACATTTTACAGCAGCGGGAAGCTTTAGACAAATAAAGCAGTTACTACAGGCTGTTTCAGCAATGACGAGGCTTCCTAATGATGATGATGAATCTACACAGCTTACATAAACTTCAGTTTTCCCTGGTGGCTGCATGGGTCTCTCTCTTTCTGTCCCTCTCTCTGAGCATGTCTCTCTCCTTTTTTTTTTTTTCTTTGTCTCTTCATCTAAAAATCACATTTCACTACTGAGGTTGAGATAGCCAGTGGACATGTCCAACCCACGCACAGGCTCAGCTTCATATCTCCATCTGTCTGCCCTTGCGTGGGAGAAGACCATGTATGTAAAAGGCTGACTCATTCAGATAACCTGAGAGTTTTCTACCACCCTGCTGTGGAAGACATGTAGGAGGTCTCCATGCAAACTGGCTACAGTTACTCTACTACCATGCTCTGCGAGAGACCCAGAAAGTGTTCATAGCCTCTGCTGGGGAATCCCTTGCTTTTGACAGGGGTCATTAGCTGCCAATGATCATTCGCTGTTTTTTTTTTTTTCCACTTTAAATCTTGAGTCCGATGTTATTTGCTCTTTACTTATACGTAAGTTCAAGTCTCTCAGAGGCAATCCAAAGGAAAAAAAAATCATATTGTGGGAAAATGAGCAGTTATTGCATAATGAATAACAGTATGTTTGATCAGTGACTGCCAGCACAAGAGCGACAATGATGTTCGAGACAAGTTTGTAGCAAGGGTCAGTAAGCACAAAGTGATAAAGTAGTCTTGGTGTTAAACAGGGTAACCCATTCAGTTCTTTGGTTCTGCTGCCTCACCCTTATCTAGGCTGTGAAACGCAGGTCACATGGAAAGGATTTACTATGGGCGGGTCAATGAACAGAGAACAGCTGTGATGGCTGACTGCTGCTTTGTTAGAGAAGTGTTGGCCTCAGGATATTAGGAGACAGAACTTATAAAGGAAGAAGATGGAGAGGATATAAGGAGGGCACCAGGCCTCAAATCTGCTGGTTCCACAGTGATTCACCAGATATAGTGTGTGACTATGACTACTGACACTGCACTAAACCACATTATGAATTTGTTACAACCACTGATGGACAGCAAAAACAATATTATCTGAAAAGAAAGCCAGAATTAATAATTCAGTACGACTGCTCTGTGCAAAAACTGGTTCTGGCAGTGTCTCCCATCTCAAACTCATTTTGCTGATGATTACCCTGGGACAGAGTAGCAGTGTTTTATCCTTAGCACTGCATAACAGGATCCAGGAATTAGAACTGGAGTCTCAGTCCAGGGACCACCTCCTTTTATGGGTGCATGCAGCCCATGAAGGTATAGTCTTTGGACGACTGAAGGCTTCTGCGGTGAACCTGCATTTTCTCTGCAGATTAGATTCTCTTCTGATGTTTTACCATGGCACGTTTGCATCAGCACCAACCTTTGAGAATATTCTCCCTGTGTTTGCTTCAGTGAATGTGTGACTGGCAGAATGACAAGTCATGGCTTTTGTTCAACCTTAGTGGGGGAAAATTTGGCCAATAGAAACAGTCAGATACAGTTACTTTTTCTGGACTGACTGTGGTCTGTGTGTGTAGTTTATCACAAGCCCCTGGCCTTGGGAAACAACACTAGCTTACTGCTGCAGGTACGAAGCTAGTTCAGGCAGACATGCTAACCTTTGTGGCTTACATCAAAGTAATCCATTCTTTACATCTTTGCTGTTGTGGTTTTGGTTTTGTAAAGGCTACAAAGGCCTCTTCAGTCACAGAGTATCACATACAGCCTCATTCGCAGGTTTCAACATGTGGAGAAATCCAGAGCTTGACAGACCCACTGTGCCAAGTTCCCAGTTGTTAAGCTGTGATTGGATGATCTCTATTAGGGGACAGCATTTAACAGACAATCAGTTTTATTGTAGGGTTGATGTGACTGTACTCAGAGAGACCAAAACTTAATGACTCCGGAAGTTGGCAAGATTCAAGAAGTTGGCGTATGAGTGGCAAATATTGGGAATATTTCCAGGAAAATGAGCTGCCATCATTGGAGCCTTTGGAAAGGAAATGTTTTGACATTTTTGAGATAAAATACAGACTTCAAAGGAGGTGGTGGTGGTGGTGGTGGTGATGATGGCCTCTGTACACAGTAATACTGAAGTCTATACAGTAGCTCCCTCAACAGAGTTCATTTAGAAAAACATTAGAGGGTTAGCTTCAGTCTGCGTGGAGACAGAAAGATAAATGTTGTGTAGGCCACTAACCGAGTTAAGCCTCACAGTATTTAAAGAGCTACCCTACTGAAATTCCATGACACTTGTGATCTGTGACAGGACCTATGCCCCCTACCCACAAATCCATGCTCCATCTCAGCCCACACTGAGCCATAATTACCTGGGGCTTACTGTTATACAATACCGGTACAATCCCTCAACTGCACACCCTATAACACAGGACTACTGCATTGTAGAGCATAACCCAACAGCTTAAAGCCTTGATTGTAGTGTATGTGCATGCATGCATGTAGGATGTGGGCTCACTTTGTAAGTGAGAAAGAAAGAAAGAAAGAAAGAAAGAAAGAAAGTGGAGTGTGGTGTTATGCAACCTGAGCATGCTGTGCATTATTCCTGGTATAACGTAACTGTAGTGTCAGTGATTTGAGGCAAAGCTTAACTGGGTCTGCTTGCCTCAGATTAACCCCATACTGAAAAATTCAAAGGTGCAATGATGCCATACAATTTTGTGCATTTGTTGTTTTTTTGTCCTGATTTTTAATACTCTTTTGATGTTGATCAGATCATAAGCAGTTCTTTATGTCTGGGAGTCTAACACAGGATGTAGAGATGCTTGTGCGTGCAGAAGGAGGGGGTGGGTGGTGAAGGGTCAGAGGTGACGGTTTAGCTGAAGCACATGATTTTTTCATCCTTCTGGTTATTCTGCAGGGTCTGATCCTTTTACCACTTCCACTGCAGTGCTCCTGATAACACACACTACTAGTCTTTTTTACCAAGTATGATAAATGACACATCAGTCTCTCTGGTTGTTTCATTTTGCCCCAGCATGCAATGTGTATTTGTTTCTCTCTGTTGTCTTCTTTATGGCTACATTACCAGCACCTTTTCTACGAGGAAAACATTCAACTCTGAATAAATGCGTCATCAGTCGCTCTGTATCATTTTAATGGTGCAGTCATACATCAAGAGTCCTGGGAACTGCACCGAAAGCAGGGAACAAATGTTCCTATTGAACCAAAGAGTCACATGGTGTAGCATTCAATCCCCTTGTGGCAAGTGGAAAGAAATCCCATGATCATCTTTCTGTTTCCAGTGAACAGAGAGACCAGGTGTTTACGTGTGTGAGACAGAGCTAGTGGGGCTATTGCGCTGCATGGCCAGTCACATTTGACAGCCCATCTATCTCAAACTCCACCCCTCCTCTCCTGCAGCCCCCCACCCCACCCCCACCCCAGGACTGATGATGGTGTCACCCAGCTCCCAGCAGCATACAGCCACATCATTTTTAGGTATTACTGTTGTTATTTACCGAGCCGCTCACTCTTCTCTGCCGGCCTCGTAGCCACAGCAGTCCATCAAGCATAAATCATTTATGAGTGAGATCACTGCACCACAACAGCCACCTCCCCCACCGTGCCTCCCGACTCCCCTGACTGCACACACACACACACACACACAAACATACACACACACAAACACACACACACAAACACACATGCCTATCCATAAACACACAACCACGTAGTAGAAAGTAAATCCAGACAGGTCATTTATGATACCACGTCCCGCCTCTTTCCACAGCACCCACCGCCATCATCGTCATACTACGTCATACTGCAGGAAGCTCAACCTGAGGCCTGGAGCAATAAATACTTACATGGACTCTCTTATCTTCTCCACCCCTCTCTGTCTTGAAGTCTAAAACCATTCCATTAGTTCATTCTCATTTTCAGGGTCTTATGATCCCAACGCTGTGATGATATCTTGAACCTTGTCTGTCCACCCGCTCTCTAAGTGTCTGATCAGATTGTGTACTCCCAGGCCATTCCCATTCCCGAAGCCATTAAGGCACTTCACTCAGGGCTAAATGCAAAGATGACCTCCTGCCATGCCCACTACTCCCTATTAAGGTCAATCAAAACAGGGCTTTCAGTAGTCTGCGCAGAGCTCATATGCAGTGCTCTGGCTCTACTCTGTATACAGTAAGAAACACTCACCCACACACAAATTTATTCATTAAAGCAGCAAGTAGCATGAGAAAACAGCAAATTGTTCTCTCTACGCTCAAGTAGAGCAAACTGCTCTCATGGGGTCATTTGTTCAGTTAGATAGCAAGACAGTGTTTCCCTGGCAAGCAGGCAGCAACTCGCTTTGCTTCCCTGATTCTAAGTGAAGACTTTCTTCTTTTAGTTTGGTCAGACTCTAGGAGAAGTGTGTAGTAGTGGTTATGCCTTTGATGTAATTGAACGTCATCTGGATCAACAGCGTTGCACCACCATCAAGGACATCAGGCTAATTTGGTTAAAAAGGGATGGCCTTTGGCTGTTATTATTACTTTGGACAGATAGAGCTCCACTGCTAATGAGGGTTGGTTCAGAGCTGGGCCAGGATGTAAAAGGATTAAGTGAATATGTGTAATTATTAGTTGGTAATAATTTAATTAATCCTTTGGGGACAGTTTTCAGAGGAAACTTAGAAATAGCTTAGAGAATATTATGTAGCAGCCACACAGCACCTAATATACATACTGTATTGATCCTTAAGTAAACTAACTAATGCTCGAACACTGAACACGTCTCATGAAGGAGTTGACTGTTTTGTTGTCAGGCTCTGAATGCTCAGTTGTGAGTCGTCAGGAATTTATCCCCCACTACTTGTTTTATATCAAAGCTTATCTAGCTAATGAAATGCTAACATTTTCAATTAGAAACTGAAGAGACTATGCTCTAGAAATGAATGTGATAAATGACTGCCCGTAACTGAGAGAAGAGCACGTCACATGTGAAATTACAGCAACAATGCAGAGTAATTCCCTGTACACGACATAAAGTTACAATGTGCTGCAAGTCTTCTTCTTAGTGCCACATTCTCTTCAGCTGCATTTCTGTCAACTCATACACTGTTGGTTACTTACATGCCAGTCGCTTGTTGTGGTAGGTTGACCCAGTAGACGACATGATCCAGTGGATGTGGGATTGTTTGAAGAGAGTGTTTTGCCTTTGAGTGTGTGGGGATTTTTCTTGTCCCCTCCTGTCAAGGCTCCAGGACAGGATGCTGGTGTGTGTAGTGGCTGGTCATCTAGTCATTGCCAGTCTCTTGACTTTGGTGCCAGAACCATCAAACACAGTAGACTCACATTACCCTTTATCTCCCTCCCCTCTTCTCTTGTCCTCTCTTTTATTCTAATCTGCTCTGCCTTTTTTTTCTTCTTTTTTTTTTGGCTGTGCTGGCTGACGTCCTCCCCCCTTTCTGACTGCCTTTGCTGTTCTTTCTAGGTTTTCCCTCTCACTGCTTCACACTCTCATCTCGGATGCCTCTCTATGTCTCACACACACACACATGGACACACACACACACGCTGTCTTGCTCTCTCTGTCAGACAGGCTCAGTTGAGTTGTAAGGAGCTGTGCGGCTTAGGGGGGGGGGGGGGGGGGTGAAATAGTGGGCTACGGCACTGTGGCCTGTACCAACTGATGACAACGAGGGGGTCAGCTGGATCAGGAGGAGCACAGGCTTTTTACATAATATTGAGGAATATACCAGGATTAAACCCCTCCCATCTCAACCCTCAGGCTTCTCTTTATATTATTTATTTATTCACTTTGTTGTAGGATAAAAGCGAGAAGTGAATCAATAAGTCACTACAGTCTCTCTCAGTATAACAGGAAAACAACGACAATGTACATGACTGACTGTTATCACCTACTATATGTTACACTGTACAAAACCTATGAAATACTGTGAATTTTTTGTTGTTGTATTACATCATCTCATGTTGTTTTTTGTTAATTATTTCTCTATGTTTGTTTATTCATCTTTTCTTTAATTTTCATTATATTTACTATCACATTTTAATAAGACAGAAAAGGTTTATAGGCTCTAACTAACAGATTTATTGAAAGAGTATTCTAAGAATCTATTATTGCATTTCCACAAAGTTCAGGAAGAAAAAGTAAGAAAAAAAAAGGTTGGCAAACAAAAATCAAAAGTAAAAAAAAAATCAATGCAGCAGAAGTGCAGATTGTTTAGTCCCCCAGGGGTCGACAGCCATGCTGGCATATCTGTGAGGTTGTACGATGCAGTGGTGCGTTGAGCTAAATGCTAACATGCTCACAGTGACAATGCTAATGCTAAACAATGTTTAGCAGCTAACATTTACCATGATGACAAATTAAACATTTGAACTAAACACAGAGTACAGCTGAGGTTAGTGAGAATTTCATTAGTATAATGTCTTAGTCCAAATTATTGGACTAATCAGTATTTTGACCTGATACAAAAGTTAAGGAATGGTCGAAGTAGTGTAAATCTGTCCTCTACAGAACTTGAAGTACACCCACACACAGTTGTCAGTATATTACTCAAAATCAAAAATGTCAACCTCATGGTGACACGAGAGGAAATGTCATCCTGTCTAGAAAATGCCCACAACTTTAAAATTCGACATATCCCAAACTTTCTGTTAAACATGTATATCCTTTAAGCCTAAACTGAGATAATCCTGATGACATCATGAGGGACTATTATCTCAGACGTGACGAATCTCCTCCAGAGCCTCAGAAGACATTATACAACTCTTTTCACAGGCTGAGCACAACTCTCTCCGTAAATAGATTGATGTTTAATATCGGTCTTTTCCCCTTTAATTGTTTACAAATCACTTATTAATTATTTATGAATTAATAAAAAGCAATTCATTCTTTTGAGATCACAGGAAGTGCATTTGGCTGCTGTAAATTCTCCTCCAGCGTTGCTGTGTCTAATGGACAGTTTGACTGCTTACCCTCTGGAAAAGAATAGCAGAGCATCTGCAATACTTACTAACATTTACATCTACAGACTTGATATTATTAAAAGGTGAGAAACCCATTGCCCTTTTTAATGGCCTGATAACATTAAGGCTTATTAGAAAGTAAGGCATTAATTATGTATTAATAGCAACAGAAGGTACCTCTGTCTCTGATATTTTCACCCATGGTCCTTTGTAGTATTTAGTAAGTTTGCAGAGATTTGTGGTTCAGTTAATTTTTTTGTTTGCATATTGGAAAGTTCAATAAAGAAAATTATATCAATTCAATAAAGAGAATTACATGAATTCTTTACACTGATTTGATTTACTGCAAATCAAATCAGATTCTTTTTGTGGCCTTTGTTCAAGAGGTTTCTTCATGCAAGCCTGAACAACAGCATACATATGCATTTACTAACATGCAATTGAGCACACGCGCACAGACACATACGAACACATCATTAAAAACACACGTATTCCCACAACTACACACACTGGGGCAAACACACACTGTAACTGTCACACGTGGGGGGTTAATAGGCACTTAGCATCATGGATTCTTGCAGGTCCTGACTCCCCCTTCCCTAATAAGAGGCTTCTAACAGCCAATTACATCACCCTTCAGCTGGAAGATACTGCTCCAGTCTAACCACTAATGTCAGGGAAAACTCATTGCAGGATACATAAGGAGATAGAGATGTACAACAAGATATGCTGTTGCTATATTTTGATGCCGTGGTCACCTCTGAACTCTGAGATGCTTAATATATTCTTTCAGCAGCACCATTTCACACTCAGTCTGTTTTGACATCTGATCTGCAACAGACATTATACCTGTGTTAAAAACTGGAGGCACTACAAGTCAGCTGTGTTCCTTTTATAGTTTAACACTATGATTTGACAACAACTCATATAAGTGTTAACATTTCTCAAAGATGTGAGAGAAGACTTTCCCTGTCACTGCATATGCCAACACCTCAGCTACTGTAGGGATCATTACAGTAACTCTCAGCGGTTCATTAGCTGAACTTCACTGGTGAGTCAACATTGGCATCTGCTGGTGAAGAGTGTGTATTACATTTTAGCGCAAACTTTGTCACCATACAGTATGTGACCTTTTTTTTTTTTCTCAAATACAAAGATGGATTCTGAAACTTCCGTGAAATAAAATTTCATGAATATGAATCACTAATACTTGGCGTCAATATCAGGAAGCTCATATTTTTTAGATTTGTTGTTATCTGGACTGGCAGCAAATCACATGTGTCTAGTTGCTTTTGATTAGATGTTAATTTGGAAAATGAATCACATTTCAAATTTGTATTTCAGGATTCAGATGCTCCCAGGTTTAATTCATTCAGGTGAACAAAGGGGGATTTCCAGTGACTGTATGAGTGAGTATGCATACGTGTTTGTGTGTGTGTATACGTGTGTGTGTGTGTGTGTGTGTGTGTGTGTGTGTTGTGCCTGTTGCTCTTTCAGCTCTTTCAGTGCTGGCTTCCTCTTTGAAACTGTGTTGTCTCAATTTTCTGCTGCATAGTCTCTGATGTGGCTTGTGAGTCATACTGTGGTAAATATACACATTTGCGCATGTACACATGGATGCACACACACATAAAGACAGATTCACAGACACATATATTCACATACACACGCACTATTCATGGTCACTATAGTTACTATTCCCTCTGCATTCATGTTAAACATTGTTGTGCATTACACAGTAATCCTGCTGAGATATGCTGCTGGATTTTCTCAGGTGAACCACACAGCTGAGCCTCAGCAACAGACAGAAAAAAAAAAAAAGTTGACATCTTCACTTCACATTTTCTCAGCTGCACCAGACAGTAAAGTCAAAGCCCTCAAACTTTATTAAAAATATCACATTGCGCTGTGTGGGGATATTCTGGGGGTCACCATGGCAACAGACATCCAAGTGCCACATGCACGAATGTGCACACCTGCCTGCCAGTATTCCAACTTGTGCCTCTGAGCCTCCCTGTTAGACAGTATCTAGGTGCTGTTTGCTAAATGTGGCAGGACGGAGAGGCGACAGTTGCAATGCCTTTGTTCTCAGAGAGAGGAGCACGCAGCTCTGTCGAGGTGTTAATTAGCCTTTGTGAGAGTAGAAAGTTGTTAGGAATGTGTTTGCTTCAGCTGTGAGATGCACAACCTTTTGTGTGAAGCAGAGCTTTGTCTTGCCAGACATTGTAAAGAATTCAACATAGTGAGTGACAGCTTCTTTTAAAGCAGCAGTGTTTTATAAATACAACCACCACATTCAATGCTCCCTGTTTGTCCTTGCCAGCAGTGGATCTGACAGTTACAGTATACAACGAGCAGCCACAACATTACAAGCTGTGCAACATCTAATGCTGTGGCTGATTGGTGTATCTACCTGTTATATTATCAAAACTTTCTGACGGCACAAAGTTCAGTATGATATGCCATGTCTCCGTTGTAACGTATAGAGACCTTCACTCAGTAAGGTCAAATTTGAAATTGTCACAGCTCTTTGATTGTGTGATGTGTCTCTAGACACGAGCTGTGAAGTTGTACGCATGGACGGATCACTTTTGGGTTAACATGATGGTTTGTGATGTCAGTTTTGCAAGTGTGTGCAATGTTTTTCGGTGTCTAAATGAGATCTAGTGACTCATGTGGAGAAAACAGGCTGCTCGGACTAGGGGACTGACAGTATCGGTTTGACTCGTCATGCTGAGCCTTGCCACTGATATACAGCACTGAACTTAGTATTTTCTTGTGGATCTTAGTCATTGCCAGATAAAAAAGCAAACCACACAGTAACATGGTTTTGGTGACCTGTAAATATAAAGGCCAACTCTATATTTTTTGTTTCCTGTCAGATCATGTTTTGTGTTGTGAGATCATGTTACGTATTTTGTGAGTCAACACAACAAAAAACGCAGGAAAGTCTATTATATGAAGATAAGTGCGAATGTAACATAACAGTGATTTAATCTGTGAATGCTGAATGTCACCATAAAGCAATTTCCTGAAAATATTTGAATCTTGTATAGGAATTTGTTGGCGGTACTGTGATAAAAAGGCACACACACACAAACAAACATAAGAAAGGTGTCAATATGTCACACTTTTCAAATGGCTTTATTATTTATACCTCAGATTGTCTCCCTGGGGTTTGTGTGTGTAATGGTTCATGTTCAGGAATAAAATAGCATTTAGATGTTTCTCATAGCAGAGCATACACAGAGTCTGTGTGCATGTGTATATGTGTGTGTGTGTGTGTGTGTGTGTGTGTGTGTGTGTGTGTGCGTGAAT